ATATAGGTTCAGTATATATCTGATTATGGATATAGGTTCAGTATATATATGATTATGGATATAGGTTCAGTATATATATGGGTACGCGGATGTTCAGAATTCTTTTTTCAGTTTTCTTGTAGTTCCAGAGCCTAAAGGCTTGATTCGGAGGCTCCGCGAAAACAAACAACTGAGCATGAGCAGCTACGAGCATCAGCGCAGATGATTGACAGCTCTTGGCATGACTCGATTGGTTAACCTCGATGGCATCGTGGATTCTGAGCTATAGCTAAGAGAAGGGAAGGTGGGACTTGCCCGTAAAATTAGAAATAATAAAATGACTTATTTCATATCAACATTTAAAGGGCCTATATCACGGTTTTTGACTTTTCTCTGCTTTAAACATGATTACAGTGCTATTTGGCCTTCATACACAAGCCCACAGTTGTTTATTCATTGATTCTGTCAATCTTTTGTAAGAGAACAATCTGTCTCCTTCCCCAGCGTGAGGCACAGAAACGCTCGGGTCCACTTCAGTGACCAAAACCACACTGATGACGCGCATGACCCCGTTTGCTTTGTATTTAAAATAGTTGTTAAATACTTTTGTCAAAACGGGGTAAACAATACACAATTAGTATGCTGTTTTTTGTCAAAAATAATAAAATAAAAATAAATTAAAAGCCGTTGGGAGGTGATTGACGGATCAAAACAGCGAATCAGAGCGCACAGGCTCCGGCTCCCGAGTCCAGCGTCTGTGGTCTGGTCTCGCGGACACCACATAGAGCTGCTGTTTTTATGCTTTTGTCAGCGACTAAAAGTGTTAGGATCACGTCAACTTGAATGAAGTGTGTTATGGGTGTAAATATGTGACACACTATTTGGCCCTAAGAGGAAGAAAGCGGCTCGACTTTTTTCATCTGTTCATCTCATGGATTCTATTATAATACTGGTTCATCTGCGACACTTCACTGAGACTGTTCCAGAACTACAGGGACAATGGAACTGGACTTACTCAAAAGCTGATCTGGAAACACGTTATTCCCACGGTAAAAGACGTAACTCGGACCCCCTCGATCTGTAAGTAGTGACGCTAACTCGCTGTATACTTCTGTAAACTAAATAACTAGGGTCTGATTGTGCATCGAGGACATAGGGCTCGATGTGACGGATTGTCATTGTTGGAAAAAGTTTATTCTTATGTATGAAATTATCAAGTACAGGTGATAAACGACAAAAGCGTGATGCTACGTCACCGTGCGGGCGGGGGGAGGCGGGCTCACAGGCAGAGGAGCAGACTCTTCTCTGGATCAGCTCGTTTGAGTCGAGGTGACGTCACCTCTGCACAAGAGATGGCTCTAATCTCACAAGCTTTGATTGTTGTGTGGTGTATCATACACATTAATATCACACATGTGTATAGGATTGAGTGTGAAACATGAAGAAAAGCGTGATATAGGACCTTTAAGGCCAGGAGGTCAATTTAACACAGTTCCTAAAATGTGTAATTCATTTAGAGTTGCATACTATCACTTTAAGTCCCAGTCGTCAATTGAAAAAAAATGAAAGGAGCGACTTGGAAGTCCATTGTAATATCAAATTCACCCAAATAAATGTGTGCAGGATTCTTTCAGATCTTTTGGCACAGTTGAAGGCTCATCAATTCTGGACTATTCATAGAAAACTAAGAAATGCATTATTCATAATTTTTCAAAATACTCATATATTTTGTATTCATTTTTCCTTTTTTCCAGATACAATGCAGCATGTGCCAAAAATGGTACCATGAGGAGTGCTTGGCCTTAAACCCATGTGAGCGGAAAAAAGCAAAACAGCCAGAAACGTTATGGCATTGCTGCCTGTGTCCAAAAAAATCATTGAGATAACCTGGCATCTCAACCTTTTGATGCATGTTTTTTATTTTCTTACTGTCACGGTTACTGGTTTCTCAAATCCGTTCATAAAAAAAAATTGGACACGAATATTGGTGTTTTTTTTTTTTTCTGAGAGTGTACAGTGAAAGTTTAGAATATTTCTTTTCAGAGTAGTAGAGGACATCACAGTGAACAAGTGTGCAGTGAAAGCTTTTTCTAAGGTTTTTTACTTTTTTTTAAAATCCAGGTTAAAAAGTGCATTTCGGATCATTATTGCACACTTTGACCCCTATTTTCTAGGAATTTCCACATAAAAGTGAATGTGACTTTGCACAATAATAGAGGGCATCACAGTGAACAAGTGTGCAGTGAAAGCTTTTTCTAAGGTATTTTACTTTTTTTTTAAATCCAGGTTAAAAAGTGCATTTTGGATCATTATTGCACACTTTGACCCCTATTTTCTAGGAATTTCCACATAAAAGTGAATGTGACTTTGCACAATAGTAGAGGGCATCACAGTGAACAAGTGTGCAGTGAAAGCTTTTTCTAAGGTTTTTTACTTTTTTTTTAAATCCAGGTTAAAAAGTGCATTTTGGATCATTTTTGCACACTTTGACCCCTATTTTCTAGGAATTTCCACAGTAAAAGTGAATGTGACTTTGCACAATAGTAGAGGGCATCACAGTGAACAAGTGTGCAGTGAAAGCTTTTTCTAAGGTATTTTACTTTTTTTAAGAATCCAGGTTAAAAAGTGCATTTTGGATCATTATTGCACACTTTGACCCCCATTTTCTTGGAATTTCTACAGTAAAAGTGAATGTGACTTTGCACAATAATAGAGGGCATCACAGTGAACAAGTGTGCAGTGAAAGCTTTTTCTAAGGTTTTTTATTTAAAAAAAATATAAACATGTTAAATGCATTGTGGCGGCTGATCCTCGCGGCTTCTCTTTTCTGTGTTACCGTAAGTAACAGCATAAAGCGGCAACCCGCTAGAAATGTGCGGGCCTCTTTACTGTTGACTCCGAAAAGCCGGACCTCTTTACCGCGGTTGGTCCCCGCAGGTGCCCGCGGATCGGGTCCGGTCATAAAAGTCTCCTTTAATCCTTTAATCCACTCATTGCCGCCATGCGCGCATTCATAGTTCAGCCACGATTAGTCTATCATCTTTACAGCGTGTTTTTAGACATAAAATAAGCAGCGTTTTGCTGCTTGTGGTCCAGAGAACGCTTTTTCCACGGCATGTGCGTCTGTGCGCGACTTCATGTCAATCTCCTGCAGCGCTCTGCACAGAGAGAGAGAGCGCGAGGGGTTAAGACTCGCCAGTCCTGTTCATTTCAAGCTCATTTCTGTATGTGTGCAAAATAGATTTAACTGATCATAAAGTCAATCCAGATACATAACACAGTTCCCTGTGCATATTCATTCATCAGAAATGACACATGCAGTAGTACACTCGAAAAGTCCACTCTCACAATATAGTTCCCCGGGCCTGTGCCATCCCGGGAGCGCGTCAGCTTTTAGGCATTCATAAGAGAGGGGGAAAAAAACACCTATTTGCAAAGTCCTGCAAAAATCCTGGTGCTGGTGACGAGACATGCGAACCATGAGTGTTTCTAACTCTGCAGACCCTCGCTCTCTGCAGAGTAGACCCCGTGCGCATCAAAGCCGCTAAAGCAGAGATCACTGCGTCTCATGTAAATTTAAATCAAATGGCCAGCAGGTGCACAGCCAATTTTACAAGAAAACCAGCAAATCGTACCCTGCTCATAGGATGTCTGTTCCAAACATTCTCGTGCTGCTTTTGCCTGTGTGTTTAAGTTTTTATTCAGCACGTAACATCAAATTAATGAAATGACACCTAAAGCTGTCCAATAAGCTTAACTTTTGAATTTGGTGGTCCTCATTTTATGTTGTGCTCCTTCAAAACCATAAGGGTTCTAAGTAATGGGAAATATTGGCCCCCTCCGGTCCTGGTGCCACCCCAGAAAAAAATGAGTGCCACCCCCAGGCTACCTCAGAAATCATTTGTGGACACGGAACTGGTTTTGCTGTAGTTGTGCTGTTGTTGTAGTGCAAAAGCTTTAACTTTCATACTAAATACATAGTCTTCAAATAAACCGTATTAGTTCAGGAAGAAACCAAGAAATGAACCCCAGTCTCATGTGATAGCCTTTCGGCTTCATTACTGAGCTATACCACACATGGCAGCTAGCAGTGTAATTTAAGGAGTTTCTCACACATTGCTCCTTGAGAGCATTGTCATTGCATTCTCACATCATTAACCTTTCCGTCTCAGAATGTGATCAAATTCACAAAAGTAATCTTGAATTCAAAAGCAAAAAGAATGTCTTACACATGCTTTAGGTGACCAACACATGCCAATTCAACATTTAAAGTATATAAAAAATAGTGTATATATATATATAGTTTAAAAGTCTGCATCATCGTGTTAAGAGATTAATGAAAAATGTGTGCCAAAGTGACATATCGTCATTGAGCCAAATTCACGCCCATAGATGTGGGCTTGGATATGGGGCTCAGATAGAGATATTGGCTTACAGATAGATATAGGCTTGGAGTTAGCCTAGACCAGTGTCTCCCAAAGTGGGGTCCGCGGCCCCCTGGTGGGCCGCGAGGGTACTGCAGGGGGGCCGCGGGAGGTCATAAAAAAATAAAAAAATAATATAATTATTTAATGTTAAATTTATACTGTTTTGTTTGTAATATTAAAATATTTGTGCTCATTATTTGACTTCAATAATCCACTGTAATCATTTTTGTATTACAATGTTTGTAGCAAAGGCTATTTCCCCAAAATAAAATAACCAGAAGAGCCTATTCTTAATGTTGTCTTCTTGGTTATTATTTTGGGGGGCCACGCAGACCCGTCAGATTTTTAAGGGGGCCTCGGTGTTACCGAGTTTGGGAATGGCTGGCCTAGACTATGATAGAGCTTTGATAACATAGATACGAAAACCACTCAATATGCATAAGCATTGATTGTGTCCCTTTTTTGTCTCATGATAGAGTTCATCACTTCCGGTTGCCTGGGGTGAGAAACCCTTCTCTATTCGATAAAAGTTGGTGTTCACATCAATCATGCAGGAATGTACATCTCAACAATTTGTTAATGTTACAGAACAGAATGTTACGGCTTGAAGACGAGGAGATACAGGCTCAAATAAAATGCCTTCTGGAGAATCCCTTGTTACAACAAAATCTCCAAGAAGATGGGTTTTGGGGTGTCTTGGCCTGCAAACTGGGAATTCCTAATAAACCAGAACATCGCTACAGATTAAAGCAACGATTTGCCTCATTCATGGTACACATGTTGCATTCTGTAGAATGAGCCATGCATTTGATTTTCCTTCTGACATGTAACCATAAGTGTTTGCTTCTGTATTGTATACATTTCACAAAATGCCAACAGCTCCAGATGGCATACTGTCATTCCTTCTATTCCTTATCAATATGGTTTGTCATAGCAGGAGACGATGGTCAGGCCCAGCAACAGTGATCAGGCTGAGTCTGGCCAGGAGGCAGCCAACGCCAGAGTATGTTAACATGAGAACTACCATACATACTGTAGCACATATACACACCCAACACTGTAAACATTGGATTATGGTCAAGTCAAACCATCAGTACCTCATGCGTTTGCCTTGTAATTGCAGGAGGGTAGCCAGGAACAAGATGGTGCCAGTACAACAGTGAGTGGTCCATAATTACTATACTTGATGGAATGCCATTACATTCATAAGATTGCTCATCAATATGGTCTGTTTATAGCAGACCAGCGGCAGTCCATCAGCACTGTAGTAATCATTAAGATTACGAACACTGTAATGGACTCTTATGTTTGTTGTTTTACAGACGGCCGTTTCTCATGAGTTGGCAATCATTGAAATACCCTTGCCCCTGGCCCCACTGCAGTTCAGCATTGAACCAAAGGATTGGGCCAAATTGACAGCCAAAAGACACAGTACAGGGTTCCAAGGTTTGGAGTGGACCATTGTCATTTCCAAAGGAATTCGTACTGTGTTCCCCTATTGTTCCTTTGGATTCAAAAGACACCACTTAAAAAGACCAAACTCCTCACGGAAGGGGCCACTTTTCAGCTGCCTCGCCTACTGCAGATTTGAGGACTGCAAGGTTGAGGCAAAGGTGACTTTGGAATCCCTGAAGACATTATCTGCGAAGTTGGTCCTGGATAATGGACCAGCACGACATTATGCCGGTGACCGTAAAAGTCGACCTGTGCGGGCCAGTGACCGGACCACGCTGGGGGAGCGTCTGCAGACTGAGAAACCCAGAGCCATGCATGTGAGAGATGTAGGGGCACTCTCAGAAGCCGTTTTTGACTCTGGCTGCAGGGACTTGGCTCCACCTGTCAGTGTCCTGAAGAATGTTTCCTATGATGTGAGGAAGAGGAGGAGACTCCATCATAATGAAATACAGAGTCTGGAGCGGATGCTCAAGCTGCCAACAAATGACACCAGTGTGCTCAAAAACGTGCTTCTGAAGCCAAAAGGAGTAATGCTCTGGTCCCTCCGTGGCATCCAAATATACCAGGAAAGGTGCAAGGAGGACATAGTGTATTTGGATGCCACTGGGAGCTTATTGAGGAGCCAAAAGAGTAACCCACCCTTCTATATCTACGAGTTAGTAGTTCGTCATCCGAAGAAGGGTGGGTCACCTCTCCCTGTGGCCACTTACATCACATGTGACCATACCACTGCATCAGTGACATATTTCCTGATGTCATTCGTCACTGATGTGAAGAGGAGCCATGGTCACAGGGTGGTGCCCTTAATGGTCATGTGTGACGGCTCACAGGTTTTGATGCAGTCCATCTCCTTCGCCTTTGCCAACAGGGGGCTCACAGACATATTGGCAGTGTATTTCCGAATTGCTACAGGGAAAGCTGTCAAAACAGACTGGCAGGTGCCAGTCCTCCACAGGTGCCTGTCGCACATCATGAAAAATGCAAAGGAGATGTGCAAAAAACAGTGAGTACTGGTGTCCAATTATTTTATAGGAAAAGCAGTGGATTGTGACAAAATCCAAACTATGCATCCATGTAACAAAGCATGATGAGCACTGATGATCTTGCAGACTGAGCATGACATTGTCATATATAGCTTGTCATATTTGTACATAAAGGAAAATGTCATACCATAGGCTTAGGCTACAGTATTAATTTAGTGCATTTTCTTACAGTGCCCCACAGTGTTATGCCTTGGCAATGCACATATTTGGCCTCTTTACCACAGCTAGCACTGTACATGAACTGGAGGACATGGTGTACAGTGCCGCTGTGTTATTTGGAAGCCCGTGTGTGGGGCCTCTTGTGGAGCATCATTTTGCACATCTCCAAGCACTCATGGTGCACTTGCCATCCCCCATGGAGGTGGACAACGAGGCTGTTGTGGACTTGGAGGTGTATAGTGTAGTCCTTTACTTGTAACATAACCAGGAGTTCATCAGTCATGATCACCTCTCCTTTACTGTAGGAGGACGAAACAGACTGGGGAAGACACCTTTCCACCATCATTGAAGGTGCCCCAAGGGATATGGTGGGGGAACAGAACCTGTACCACTCAGAGGGGCTGTTGACGCACCTCTCAAAGTTCATGCTGCCATATGCGGGACTGTGGAGTGGCATTATGCTGGGTTAGTGCTATAGGCTGTAAATGTATCCCCCACAACCTTGTACACTGTCAATCAATCAATCACTGTAAACTCTCAATTTCTATGTTTTATGTAAAGGGGATCTAGGCAGACACGGACAGGGGCAGGGTTATACAGACGCCTCAAAACGCCATACAAAACCGACCAATTTGCAAAGACAAGTAAGCAACCTCAAATGAAGTCTTCTCCTGTAAGAATAAATGACATTTACATGGTATAATGTGGTTATGTGTCATTTATACAGAACATCACCATGGCCAACCACACACAGGGGATCATGGAGAAGAGTCAGTGGGACCTGAAACATCTGAGGTTCCAGTCGCGCACCTATAGCCGACTAGATGATGTGGTCCTGCAGTATCAGGCTCTTCATAAATCTCTGTTACGAGAGTACAGAGATACTGCAAGAGTCTTCAATATGAAGGTATAATATTGGCTGTAGTCAATGGTGTACAATATTATAATATAGGTTTGTAGCATATGTATGTGTGGGTTAAAGCTGCTTGCAAGTAATACTGTATTAGGCCTCCTGCATTGGAGTAGCCTAACGTCAGTGGTTTCCAGCCTGTTCCCCCTATGCATGCACTACCCCCCCCATCCAAAACTGTGGCTCTCACAAATGTATCCAAACATGAAAATTACTATAAGTAATAAGTATTTTACATAACATAATAAGTATTTATGTCAAACAAATACACTTACATTGGAGTGTGCCATGCACCTGTACTCTCTTCTCAGTCATATTTGATTATTTTTAAGCGTATAATTTGCTCAAGTAATATCTTTTATGACTTGACCCTATGACCCGGCTTCCCCCCGGTGAGGCCCACCCCAGGTTGGGAACCACTGGACTAAGTAACTGTTACAGAGCACTGTGTACCATGATTCCCACGGTAGGGGAGCAGACAATTGTGCATAATTGCTTCATGTTTGCAGAGATACCAGGTCCTCTCAGAAAAATGGCGGAAAACACGGCGGCGGCAGATCCTCGCGGATACAAGCGGTCGAAATGAGCTTCCTCCGCAGAGTGGCTGGGCGCTCCCTTAGAGATGGGGTGAGGAGCTCGGTCACACGGGAGGAGCTCGGAGTAGAGCCGCTGCTTCTCCACGTCGAGAGGAACCAGTTGAGGTGGCTCGGGCATCTGTTCAGGATGCCTCCTGGACGTCTCCCTGGGGAGGTGTTCCTGGCACGTCCCACCGGGAGGAGGCCCCGGGGAAGACCTAGGACACGCTGGAGAGACTATGTCTCTCAGCTGGCCTGGGAACGCCTTGGGGTCCCCCCGGACGAGCTGGAGGAAGTGTGTGTGGATAGGGAAGTCTGGGCGTCTCTGCTTAGACTTCTGCCCCTGCGACCCAGCAACGGATAAAGCGGAAGAAAATGGATGGATGGATGGTTTGCCTGGATACTTGATTCGCCTTAACTTTACATTGTCTTATTTACTGCTCTGTTATATCGCCTTAATGTTCGGTGCAGCCCTATGAGGAAACTCCTGTTGTGATATTGGGCTATACAGACCATTGATTGATTTTGTATACATTCTTTGACAGATCCGGGTGGATTCAATAAGTTTCATTTCCCCCACCACCTTTTCAGTTAAATTGTTTTCAATTAAAAATGTACTTGATGAAATATTTGTGTCTCACTGTAGTTTATTCTTGCATGTTGAAGTTCTACTTGGAACCTTAAGATCCAACCATGCTCAATGTAATGTTACAATATTTCTAATGGTCTTGAACATTTAATCAGGACTGTATAATAAAGCATGTATCGCTATAGAGTTATGGGCACATTTTACATTATGACCTCTTTATAGGCGGCAACACTGACACACAGCACACCCCTCTGTTTTAGTAAATATTCTTAAATGACAAATTGCTCAGATAAGGTGGCGTAGTGGTTAGCGCTCGTGCGTCAGAAGGTCTTGGGTTCGACTCCCACCTGGACGGGGCCTTTCTGTGTGGAGTTTGAATGTTCTCCCCGTGTCTGCGTAGGTTTCCTCCGGGTACTCCGGTTTCCCCTACTACTGATGTACAATAAGCCTGCATGTGTGTTGGTGGTCAGAATGACCGTTGGCGCAGATGTGTGCCATCACAACAGCGTTTCTGTCAGTCATCCCCAGGGTAAACTGACAGAGTATGGGGTGAATGTATCATTGTCTCATATGAAGCACTTTGTGATAGTCTGTGAAAGGCGCTATATAAATAAAGTTCTTTTTGGTTTTTACTGTAATTTTTATGTTTTATGGATTAGTGCTTTTTAATTTTATGCAACTGTGAAGCACTTTGAATGTGCTCTACAAATAAACATGCCTTGCCTTACCAAATACAGGACAAAGACTGGTCTAAATCATGACTGAAGCAAGGTAAAACCAGCACTTTGGACAGAAATGGCACTGAACCAGGACGACAAAAGTTATGACACTATCTGAACTTAATGCCTTATGAGAAAGAACTGAACTGGGAGTTAACTGTCAAATATAGAGATACAAAACGTCTGGACAGCAGTATAGCCTGATGCAAATGTTGCCACACAAAGAAAGATGTAGGGGAGACCAGGTATGGTTGTAACACTTTTTGCTTCAGCATCTGTAACTCACAGATTTTTTTAAGCTAGAGTTCTCAAACTTTTAAACAAAGTCCCCACATTTGTTAATTACAAATGGCACCAATTCAAACCTCTGCAAGAAAATCACAGACCTCATGAGCTGATGTCAAATACATGGTGTGTGTTACAGCCTACACCAGTATGGGGTAGGTTGTAACAGGCAAAAGAAATAAAAACCGAGGCCACGTCATGTGATATGCTTCAAATTCTGGTTTATTTAAATAAAAGAACAATCCAGAACAATGTCTCTCTCTCTCTGACCTCTCATATGCTTAACCTCACAATAAAGGCCTTGTTACACAGAAATGGCCATTATAACAGCTAATTGCAGTGAATACAGAAGGTTTCTGAGAACGATTCCAGTGTGGACCAGGTGTCCAGGACCTATACATGTGATCCACATTACTTTTGACCCCACGTGATTAAGCGTTTCACAATAAAGGCCTTGTTACACAGAAATGGCCATTATAACAGCTAATTGCAGTAAATACAGAAGGTTTCTGAGAACGATTCCAGTGTGGACCAGGTGTCCAGGACCTATACATGTGATCCACATTAGTTTTGACCCCACGTGATTAAGCGTTTCACAATAAAGACCTTGTTACACAGAAATGGCCATTATAACAGCTAATTGCAGTAAATACAGAAGGTTTCTGAGAACGATTCCAGTGTGGACCAGGTGTCCAGGACCTATACATGTGATCCACATTAGTTTTAACCCCAGGTGATTAAGCATTTCACAATAAAGACCTTGTTACACAGGGATTTCCATTATAACAGCTAATTGCGGTAAATACAGAAGGTTTCTGAGAACCATTCCAGTGTGGACCAGGTGTCCAGGACCTATACATGTGATCCACATTAGTTTTGACCCCACGTGATTAAGCGTTTCACAATAAAGACCTTGTTACACAGAAATGGCCATTATAACAGCTAATTGCAGTAAATACAGAAGGTTTCTGAGAACGATTCCAGTGTGGACCAGGTGTCCAGGACCTATACATGTGATCCACATTAGTTTTAACCCCACGTGATTAAGCATTTCACAATAAAGGCCTTGTTACACAGGGATTTCCATTATAACAGCTAATTGCAGTAAATACAGTAGGTTTCTGAGAACCATTCCAGTGTGGACCAGGTGTCCAGGACCTATACATGTGATCCACATTAGTTTTAACCCCACGTGATTAAGCATTTCACAATAAAGGCCTTGTTACACAGGGATTTCCATTATAACAGCTAATTGCAGTAAATACAGTAGGTTTCTGAGAACGATTCCAGTGTGGACCAGGTGTCCAGGACCTATACATGTGATCCACATTAGTTTTGACCCCACGTGATTAAGCATTTCACAATAAAGGCCTTGTTACACAGGGATTTCCATTATAACAGCTAATTGCGGTAAATACAGAGGGTTTCTGAGAACCATTCCAGTGTGGACCAGGTGTCCAGGACCTATACATGTGATCCACATTAGTTTTAACCCCACGTGATTAAGCATTTCACAATAAAGGCCTTGTTACACAGGGATTTCCATTATAACAGCTAATTGCAGTAAATACAGAAGGTTTCTGAGAACGATTCCAGTGTGGACCAGGTGTCCAGGACCTATACATGTGATCCACATTAGTTTTAACCCCACGTGATTAAGCATTTCACAATAAAGGCCTTGTTACACAGGGATTTCCATTATAACAGCTAATTGCAGTAAATACAGTAGGTTTCTGAGAACGATTCCAGTGTGGACCAGGTGTCCAGGACCTATACATGTGATCCACATTACTTTTGACCCCACGTGATTACGCATTTCACAATAAAGGCCTTGTTACACAGGGATTTCCATTATAACAGCTAATTGCGGTAAATACAGAAGGTTTCTGAGAACCATTCCAGTGTGGACCAGGTGTCCAGGACCTATACATGTGATCCACATTAGTTTTAACCCCACGTGATTAAGCATTTCACAATAAAGACCTTGTTACACAGAAATGGCCATTATAACAGCTAATTGCAGTAAATACAGAAGGTTTCTGAGAACGATTCCAGTGTGGACCAGGTGTCCAGGACCTATACATGTGATCCACATTAGTTTTAACCCCACGTGATTAAGCATTTCACAATAAAGGCCTTGTTACACAGGGATTTCCATTATAACAGCTAATTGCAGTAAATACAGAAGGTTTCTGAGAACGATTCCAGTGTGGACCAGGTGTCCAGGACCTATACATGTGATCCACATTAGTTTTGACCCCACGTGATTAAGCATTTCACAATAAAGGCCTTGTTACACAGAAATGGCCATTATAACAGCTAATTGCGGTAAATACAGAAGGTTTCTGAGAACCATTCCAGTGTGGACCAGGTGTCCAGGACCTATACATGTGATCCACATTAGTTTTAACCCCACGTGATTAAGCATTTCACAATAAAGGCCTTGTTACACAGGGATTTCCATTATAACAGCTAATTGCAGTAAATACAGAAGGTTTCTGAGAACGATTCCAGTGTGGACCAGGTGTCCAGGACCTATACATGTGATCCACATTAGTTTTGACCCCACGTGATTAAGCATTTCACAATAAAGGCCTTGTTACACAGGGATTTCCATTATAACAGCTAATTGCAGTAAATACAGAAGGTTTCTGAGAACGATTCCAGTGTGGACCAGGTGTGCAGGACCTATACATGTGATCCACATTAGTTTTAACCCCACGTGATTAAGCGTTTCACAATAAAGGCCTTGTTACACAGAAATGGCCATTATAACAGCTAATTGCGGTAAATACAGAAGGTTTCTGAGAACCATTCCAGTGTGGACCAGGTGTCCAGGACCTATACATGTGATCCACATTAGTTTTAACCCCACGTGATTAAGCATTTCACAATAAAGGCCTTGTTACACAGGGATTTCCATTATAACAGCTAATTGCAGTAAATACAGAAGGTTTCTGAGAACGATTCCAGTGTGGACCAGGTGTCCAGGACCTATACATGTGATCCACATTAGTTTTGACCCCACGTGATTAAGCGTTTCACAATAAAGACCTTGTTACACAGAAATGGCCATTATAACAGCTAATTGCGGTAAATACAGAAGGTTTCTGAGAACCATTCCAGTGTGGACCAGGTGTCCAGGACCTATAAATGTGATCCACATTAGTTTTAACCCCACGTGATTAAGCATTTCACAATAAAGGCCTTGTTACACAGGGATTTCCATTATAACAGCTAATTGCAGTAAATACAGAAGGTTTCTGAGAACGATTCCAGTGTGGACCAGGTGTCCAGGACCTATACATGTGATCCACATTACTTTTGACCCCACGTGATTACGCATTTCACAATAAAGGCCTTGTTACACAGGGATTTCCATTATAACAGCTAATTGCGGTAAATACAGAAGGTTTCTGAGAACCATTCCAGTGTGGACCAGGTGTCCAGGACCTATACATGTGATCCACATTAGTTTTAACCCCACGTGATTAAGCATTTCACAATAAAGACCTTGTTACACAGAAATGGCCATTATAACAGCTAATTGCAGTAAATACAGAAGGTTTCTGAGAACGATTCCAGTGTGGACCAGGTGTCCAGGACCTATACATGTGATCCACATTAGTTTTAACCCCACGTGATTAAGCATTTCACAATAAAGGCCTTGTTACACAGGGATTTCCATTATAACAGCTAATTGCAGTAAATACAGAAGGTTTCTGAGAACGATTCCAGTGTGGACCAGGTGTCCAGGACCTATACATGTGATCCACATTACTTTTGACCCCACGTGATTAAGCATTTCACAATAAAGGCCTTGTTACACAGGGATTTCCATTATAACAGCTAATTGCAGTAAATACAGTAGGTTTCTGAGAACCATTCCAGTGTGGACCAGGTGTCCAGGACCTATACATGTGATCCACATTAGTTTTAACCCCACGTGATTAAGCATTTCACAATAAAGACCTTGTTACACAGAAATGGCCATTATAACAGCTAATTGCAGTAAATACAGAAGGTTTCTGAGAACGATTCCAGTGTGGACCAGGTGTCCAGGACCTATACATGTGATCCACATTAGTTTTAACCCCACGTGATTAAGCATTTCACAATAAAGGCCTTGTTACACAGGGATTTCCATTATAACAGCTAATTGCAGTAAATACAGAAGGTTTCTGAGAACGATTCCAGTGTGGACCAGGTGTCCAGGACCTATACATGTGATCCACATTAGTTTTGACCCCACGTGATTAAGCGTTTCACAATATAGGCCTTGTTACACAGGGATTTCCATTTTAACAGCTAATAGCTGTAAATACAGAAGGTTTCTGAGAACTATTCCACTGTGGACCAGTTTTTCTTAATTCTATGGGAACCATTTTGGTCCCCGAGGGTGACAACTCTGTTTCTTTTTATTCTTTTGTTTTTACCTTTGAACTGAGCATGTCAGATCTACATTGACATGGGTATTGAAATGTGACTTGCTCCATGATGCTTTGCCAATTTAAAGTTAGTGTTCAAAACACAGGTAGACATTTATATTCGAAAGTGATAAAGAATGACAAATTAAGCACCTTAAAATACGTTGCTCAAAATCAGTGCCTCACATTGTTATTATTATTGTTTTTGTTGTTGATAATAATAATGATAATAATGATGATAATAATATTATTATTATTCATTTTATGTATAATTCTTATATTGGTAGTTTAAGTCACCGTACTTGGCAGCTGGCTTTGGTGAAAGGGGTGAATTTGCGCCATCTGCTGGACCGAATTTTAACTGACATTTCTAACGACATGACAAAAGTTGTACATTAGATGTTCTACCGCAAAGTATGTCAAGGCTGGGGGTTATTGGGTGCTTTTAAAAGGCTGAATGACGCTATATGACTTCATATGACTGACTAGACACCCGAGGTGGATTAGACATGCCCATGAGCTCTGTGAACATGTACGGCAGTTTCCTTATTCATTGTATTTCATTTGCCTTTGCCTTCTCTTTTTCTAGAGGCGCTGGACTATTACAAGGACCACCGTGGAATTATTTTTCTGTAGGCCTATTTCTTGCGCTACCTGGAGGTCACGGTGTACAAAACGAGCGCACCCGCACTTTGGAAGGGCGGATGCGCTATTAAGACAAGGCTGGCTTGACGGCGGTGATGTTTGGCCCGGCTGTGAGCTCCGACCTGTGCTCCATCCTGCGGCCCATGCCCACACCATGAGGCGGCCCTGCTCCTGACTGCGTCCCGGGGTAAGTGAGCCTCCCCCCCGGCCTGCTCTGGGCCTGCTCTGGGTCTGCTCCCGGGGCCAGGGCTCGGTCTCATGAGGGGTTCGGGAGCAGCTGGCCTGTCTCAGCACAAAGAGGCTGTGTGAGCTGGGGCTAACTTTGAGCCACATTTACAAAGCAGACACACACAGAGACATAACAGCTGCTTAAGTCAAAGTTTTTACTGATATTTACGAATAAAAATGAAGTTTTGGGTCCCTACGGTTCAACGCGCTGATTAGTTTGATCTTTATAGGAGACGTATTGTGTCAGATTGACTTCTTTACAAAGAGCAGGTTTTCAACATTAAAATCTGGGACACACCCGAGTGAGGGAGAAATAATATAGAAATGTGTAAAGAGCAAGCTTTTATCAGGTCTACACTTTAAATTAGGAATCTTTTTTTGTGTGTGAAGTACTTTGAGTTGTCTTGTGTCTGAATTAGACCAGCTGTTTTTAGTGTATTAAAGCAATAAGTTCACTATTTATGAAAAAAATTAAACTCATACAGTGAAAAAGCCTGTCACTACAAAATTAACGTCAATATATAGTTTTAATTTATTCCATGTACCAGTTTAAATACTTATTTGAGGTAAAATTCTGCTGCAGATTTAAACTTCTGGGCATTTCTGGGATTCTTCAGTTTGTGTAATAACTCTAAATTACATTAAGCATGGTTAATAATATATATTGACTCACAAGTGTCAACGAGTGCCATAGTGGTCACAATAAGGACAATGGAGATATGTCCAGTAAAAAAGTAGTCCTTGGTTTGGATAAATGTGTCAGGATTTGGCACGAGCTGTCTCTTGCTGTTACGTTGTACCCTCAAGTCTAATTTCTATTTGTTCCTGTTTTAGTTATCTGGCATTTTTCTGATATATATATCTACCATTGTTCCTATGCTTCCGTTTCATAAATGTTGTATTCAGTAGTGGATAATGTCAGTCATCAACAGGAAGTCCCTGAACCTGTTATTATCTTTGTCTTAGGTAAGTTTTGTGGCTTACAGAGACAAAATATTGTGACACACCTGAATAATAAATATAAAAAGAATAATCACAAGATGGCGTCAGCTAATAATTAGTTGCATCCTTCTTGTTGACTCCAAAAATGTGTTTTGTTTGAAATGGATGGAGAAGCAGAAGTGGAAGCTTCTGTGGCCCAATGTGGCCCCGGTCTCACTCTAAACACTTCATAATGTTATTATTAAGAATCTCTGGTTTAAAGATGCTAAATTATTATTTTGTTTATTACATTTGTTGTGCTCTTTGATCTAATTTAAAGTTTCAAAGAAAAATGTGTATATGTTTGTTTACCTTTATTACACTATGTCTATATAAAGTGTGTGTGCGTTGGTTCCCTGACGTCACATGTTGTGTCCTGTCCACAGTGTGGTGAGGAAGCCCGGGCTCATGTGTCAGTAGTGGCTCCCTGACATGCTGGCCTGCCTGTTGGCCCCTGGACACTCGACCACTCCTCTTCTGTGCCTGCAGATGAACACTGGACCTCCGCAATGTAAGTGGAACCTCTTTATCAGCCGTCCAAACCTGCTCCTGCCTGTTCAAAGGTTCAGGACCCTTATTTATGTAGAAAGCCGTGCTTTGATGTATTCTCTGTGAAATATGGCAGATTGCCACAACAGCTCTAGACAGCTTATAGCTGAGGGGGAGGAGGGAGGAGAGCCTAGGACAGAGCTGGACTTCCTGATGACCTTGCTCAGCTTGTTTCAGACCCTTTCTGTGATGCTGTCATAGGTCTTGAAATGGCCCCCACACACCAAAAGACTCAAGCATTCCCGGCAGGTACAGCAGGTTCTGTATCCTGAGTTTGTGGTTCAACTGAACACTTATGTACAAACTGAGTTTCTCTTGCTCCGGAGCGGAGAAAGTGCGACATGGCGTTCACAGCCGTGTGCTCTGGGTCCTGGTCGCTGTCAGTCCTGCTTCTGCATGGAGCACTTTTACCTTTTTACCTGCTCAGGTTCATGCAGACGCTACAAGCACAATGACAAGCAGCCTGATAATGAAAATTTGATTTGAAAAGTGGCCATCAGAGCAACTTCAGAAAAGCAGAAAATCCTCCAGACGCTGGTTAAATCAAAGTGCTGGTGAGAACCCAGAGTCAGCCTGAAAAACTGACTTGGTCCACATCACTTCTTCACCTTTACTAGCCCATGGGCGGGTCGTTTTTAGGTTTTTTTTTTTTTTGTTCTGCTGCTCATAGCACTGGGGCTGTATCAAATGAATCGATTATTGAGATGGCTCTCAACTCCTTTAGTATTCAAGTTTATGACTCTGACATTCTCTAATGACTGCAGAATGAGATGAGAATGTGTTTACAATGTAATGTCCAGACTGAACTTTTAAACCTTGCGGTTTCTATAGCGTTGCAGCAAACTTTTTGTGGTAGAGTTGTCAGAGCAGAATTAATGGACTTATCATTTGGAATCAAGTTTGAGAAGCTGTAAGGCACTCGTTTATTGTGCTAATAGACTTCTGAGTGAGTACCGTCATGGAAGCTAACGGTTTAGCTGTTAAAAACCTCATCAGTTAAAACAGTTGTCTGCTGCATTGAAAACCTGTGGCTTATATTCAAGTGCGGCCAATATCTGTTCTTTTCTAAAATATTGCTGGTGCGGCTTATATACAGGTGCTAATAGTCCAGAAAATGATATTTTTAATCAAACAACCCAATGTGTATCAAGTGCTCTGTGAAGATGTTCTCCAGCACTAGAGCTTTGTTTTGGTCAAATGTAGAACAGATTCAGTGAACTTTAGGATCTTAACAATTCACTGTTAAAATGGATGTTTTCTTACAATTACTATTCACTTACCATGAGCAAGAACAATCTCTTAGCAATAAAATTCTCTGACATAGTTTGTTCTGCCTGGGTTTTAATCTTATGAGCACAACTGTATGTGACACTGAGGCTTGAACTCTCTGATGATTAGATCCTGGGTCTTTGTTGGTTTGTTTATTACTCATCTCAACTAAAGCTCATAAATGGTAAAAAGAACCAGGAGAAAAGTGCCTGTTTGACACTTTGCTTCTCTTTCAGGGGAAACCACACAGAAGATGAGATCTCCGAGCTACCCCAGCCCCGCAGAGTTAGATGCGTATGCTAAGAAAGTGGCCAACAGTCCTCTGACCATCCAGATCTTCCCCAACAGCGTCAAAGTCCCTCAGAGGAAGCACGTCCGGCGCACGGTCAACGGCCTGGACACGTCCTCCTCCCAGCGCCACAGTCCGTACTCCTCTCAGCTGAGCGCCCGAGCCGGTCTGCTGGCCGTGCTCCGCCCTCAGCTCAAACACACCCCTAGCCCCCGCACCCGCGCTCCCCACAAGGCGGCCATGAACCTACACAGTGGCCCCTACGGCCCTCAGGGAGCGCTGAACATGCAGGGCCCTCCACAGCAGCCCCAACACCCCCATCCTATGAGTCTCCCCCAGAGCCACCCCCAGAGCCACCCCCAAGGCCACCCCCAAGGCCTCCCGCAGAGCCACCCCCAAGGCCTCCCGCAGAGCCACCCCCAAGGCCTCCCGCAGAGCCACCCCCAGAGCGCACCTCAGACCGTGCAGCATCATCCCACACTGCAGCATAGGGGCCCCTCACACCAAGGGCCCCTGCAGCGGCACAACCTGTCACAGCTGCAGACAGTACAGAGACCTGTGTATCCTCAAGGGCCCCCAAGACTTCCCCAGACGGGCCCCCCCACACAGCCAGCCCACCTGCCAATACTCGGGCACCATGGCCCTCGCAACGTCCTGCACTCAGCCCCTCACACGGGCCCCCACAATGTCCCTCACAACCTCCCCCACAATGGTCCTCACAACGTCCCCCACTCGGGCCCTCTCGGTGCTCGGGACAAGGTCCTCATGGCCCCGTCACAGGAGCGGCAGCACATGCCTCAGCTCATGTCCCACCAGAGCATCCAACAAACCATGAACTCAGTGAGGGCCCTCGCACAGCGACCTGCGGGCCCTCAGCCTGGGCCCCATGGAGCACCAGAGCAAAGACCGCATGGACTACATGCAGGCCCCCCTGCACCACCTCCAGGGGGCCTACACCCAGGCCCCCCTGCCCCTCCTCCAGGGGGCCTACACCCAGGAGCCCCTGGAGGGCCCCTACAGGGCCATGCTAAAGGAGCCCAGCCTGGAGCCGCTGGTGGACTACAAGCTCCCCCCTTAGCGGGCCCCCAGCAGGGCCCCGCCAGAGCGCCAGATCCCGCTGAAGGAACCCCTTTCATGGGCGACACTTGTCAGCAGCCGGGACACTACGGGCCCCGTAAAGTGGCCGATGCAGATGCTCCGCCTAACGTGACCGTGTCTACCTCCACCATTCCTCTGTCCATGGCGGGCAGCCTGCAGCAGACGCGGCCCGACCTGAGCAGCATCGTGCTGCAGATAAACCAGCTGTGCCAGGCGCGGGCGGGTCTGGGCGGCACCTCTGTGTGCGAGGGCCAGATCGCCAACCCCAGCCCCATCAGCCGCAACCTGCTGATCAACGCCAGCTCCAGAGTGGCCCACCCCCCTGGTCTGGCCTCAGCCAACAGCTTTCACTTGCAGGGAGCTCTGGACAAGACCCTGGGTCACCTCCCTGGCCCCGGACATCCCAGCGGGGCCCCTCTGCACTCTCAGCCCAACATGAACGCTCTGAATGGGCTGCAGAACTTTCACAGTGATTCAGAGAAGCACCAGAGCCTCCTGCAGCGCTCATGGGCTCAGCACCAGATGGCTCACATGCAGCAGGCTCCTGAGGGGGCCCATCCCTGTAAGACCCCCCGACTGGAGGCCCCTGCTGACTGTAGCTTTGGCCCTGCTCAGAGTCTCTCTTATCCCCACAAAGTGCCGGGCTCTGGCCAGTCCTTCTCTCTCAAACATCAGGATAAAAGTAATGCTTCGCCTCCTCACTGCTCCGGGGGCTCTTTGCCTTACATGGAGACTCAGTATCTGCCGCCCTCCTGGGGCCCACCTCAAGAAGGGTTGGGTTTTCAGGGGCCTCGGGGAGGGCTCTCTGATGTATTTCCAGGACAAAAATACAAACCAGGGAAAGCAGATCTTGGTGTTCAACCCAGGCTCATTCCCAATCTGGATTTCCTGCCCGGGAACTTCCAGATTCCACGATTTGGGGACCAGAGCTTGGATGTACGGGGCCCTGGACAGGAGCCGGGCCCTGGGGGCCCTCTGCATGGACATCACCCTGGGTACAGATGAATGCTGTCGACTGGAGTCTGAGGCTGTCGACTGCAGAGCCTCGGCCTCTTAAGATGGTCACATGTCTGCACTGTCCGGACCACACCACAGGAACATGTTCGAGGTCTGGCCGACTTCAGATCCTCAGAAGAGTTTAAGTGGCTGCTCTTTTAGTGTTTTCAACTCGACCGTCGACTGTGTGACATCAGAACTGAAACCCGACTTCACATGAGCAGCCTATAAATATAAAGCAGCACATCTGGACAGAGTATGACTAACCTCCTCACATCCTGTTGCTCATAATCCTGTTCTTCAACAGGAATAAAGGAAACATAAAAACAGTGTGAGGTGAAGCTTCTGCAACTTTGTTCTTTCAAAACATTTGCTGATCAAAGCTACATGGATTATCGAGTTTTCACTTTCCTCTGATTGTTGGGAACATATCTGTCAAAGCAAGTCCCTTCACTGTAAACCAGTGGTCCTCACACCAGCCCTGAAGGAGCCGTGTGGCTGCGACAGTTCATTCCAACCAGCCAGCCCAGGTAATGGTGGAGGGTGGTCGGCTCCTGCTTGTTGGAATGAAAACCTACAGCCGCCCATGTGTGGACTGGTGTGACGACCACTGCTGCAAACACACAGTTGACGCTCTGCTCTGTGTGCTAGCTTCGTTAGCCCAGCTTGTCGTGTGGGCTCTTCACTGTATTTGCGCCGGAGGAATCCTGACTTTTTATAATCTCATAACATTCAGATGCTTTTGTACGACGTTGGCCTGTGTGTGGTCCGGCCTTTGACACGTGTCCGGTGTCTCTGTGACGTCACACAAATCATTTCCACAGAAGAGTGCACTAACCAGGCTCTGCTCCAGCCTGCGTCTCTGTGGCCTTACACTGCTAGCCTCAGCGTGGGATGGGGGCGTGGCCTAACTACTGTTTGACCCTGCGAGCCCCCCACCTGCCCTGACCATAGGACTGTGGCGGATGGATCCTTGCAGGTCTTCAGAAACGCCTTATTTGTTGATTTATCCTGCTGAAAAATTACTTGAGATGACTGATGTAGTGTTGGAACTTTCTGATGGACATCTGTGCTCCTCAGCTTTGGTGGAGGGTCCCGGGCCCCCACTCCCTGTTACTGTGACCTCTCCTCCCACCAAAGACTCCGCCTCAGGCTTGTAGTGGGACAGGAAGAAGTTTGTGGAGATGAGTGAATTTAGCTTATTTATGCTTAACCTGACTAAGAATGTCCAAATACTGTGCTTTCTTTTCAGTACTAGATCTCGAACTGGACGCTCCAACGCCGTAGTGTCAATTCATAATCATGAAAAAATAAAAGACAAAAATATGTTTTAGTCAACTTTATCTAAAAGCATTTCTTAGATTTTAAAGATTTTCCTGGCATTAAACTGTAGTTGAAAATTGTGAACAAAATGATAAATTCATAGATATTTGAGAGAAATGATAAAGTAAGTTATAATTCATTCCATTCCCTGAGTCCTGTCGAGTACGCTAGTCTGTGCACACATGTTTTACTCTGGTTTTGAAGGAGTTTAAGCTAGTTGGACTTGTACAGTGATCACCTGCATGTGCTGTGACATTATTTCTACAAAAGAGGGCTGGTTAACATGTTTTTGTTTTTCATAATTTATCACAATGAGTGTTTAGAATGCACCAAAACGTGCCTGTAAAACTGACCACAAAAACCCCCGGCACCGGTCACTGGTGTTTGGGCGGTTGTTCCACAAGGTTCTGTTTTGGCATCGGTTCTGTTTCAACACATTTTCTTTTAAAGGCAAATATGTCCAAACGAGGTTATGCAATTACATCATCTACACATTTGGAGGATCCATCGATGTTTGAGTCATGAACATAAGTTGCTTTGTCTCCATCGACTTTAAAGTAAACTACTGTAGCTCAGTTTGTCTCACTCACAAAGTTGGGCTTAAACAATCCATGGTTTCGCGCTCTCTTCGATCCTGGGGTTTATATTCTGATACTCACTAGTGCTGGGAACTGGCAGAAATGTGACTGTATTTTGATAGTGTTGCGATATTTGGGCCACAATTTAATATTATGGCAATTAACATATTGTGATTAAATTCTGCGGTATATTGCAGAATCATCTCCCTCATATTCAAAAGCATTACAAAGATTGAAGAAACGTATTCACATTGATTATGATCTGAACATGAACTGAAGCAAACACTGAGGGAAGTGTGAAAACATGATCCTTGAACCTTCAGACTCAGGACCTTATCACAGACTTTCTCTACAGACCACGCTTCACTTACTGCAGTTTGTCATATCTGAATACAGAAACAAAAAGCAGACTAAATCGAAGAACATAAACCCATCCATCCTCTTACCTCACTGATCCTCTGCAGGAGCTGAGATCTTTCAGCGGGAGCTTCAGGCAAAGTGGGGTTAAGTGTCTTGCCCAAGGACACGACGACATCAGTGGGAGTCGTGAAGTAGATCTTACAGTGGGCTCGAACCCACGACCTTCAGGCTCAAAGGCCAATGCTCTACCAACTGAGCCACTGTCGCCCACATAGACCATAAACCTCAGATGTAAATGACCAGAGTAAACCCTGAGAAAACACAATGGTGAAAAAACATAATTATTTAAATATCTCTTTGCTCTAATGTATCGATTTTATTTGTGTGCGCAAAATATCGCAATACTGACCAGAATTTATTTTTTATTTCTCACTAATACTCTCCAGATGAGAGGCATAAGGACTGACCAATCAGAGGCGAGTGACTAGCGTTAGCCTCGGGTCAGACTGGTGCCGTTCTGGCTCTTGGTAACTCGGCCGTTGCCACCAACAAAATGTTTATTTTTGACGCCACATTCCTGCGCCCAGCCTTTTAGAGCGACTGACACTATGGGGGACCTCACTCATGGTTCACTCCTGGTGCACGATGGTCATTCATGAAGAGCCATCAGGTCACTGTCAGAGGCATGGTATGTCCCCTTTAAACGCAGTAGATTTTAACTGTATTTGCATAACCTCCCTTGTGTTCTCGTCCTCCTCCTCTGGCCACAGTCTGAACAGAGTGGGATGGAACCAGCCCTTTCCCTGCGTACGTTTGCATCCTCCATGTCCGGGTGAATGGGAAAGTATCAAAGGGCCTGTAGTTAGGCCGAGAAGAGTCAAGCTAAATGTACTTCTACTGAAAGCCATTGTCTGTGCGGGCTGCATAAAAGGAATATTTCTACAACATGTCTTGGATTCACGGTGTTTCTAAAATGGGATGTGAACCACTTGTCCACATGTTTAAATGTATTTTTTTTGGACAAGCTGAATATTTGTTAAGTTTGAAATGATGCACTTAAAATGAGACAAAATGTACCATACTGATTTGTTTAAGACATTTACGCACATCAAAGTAACAATTTTATCAACAATATTATGAGTTTAAGGCGTTTAAATTAAAGTATTCCTTTTCTGCAGCAGTGAATTCACTTTTTTTGTTAAATGTTTTTATGGACTTTATGTATTTATTGTTGGACCACTGCATCTTGAGGCCACGTGTCGCAGACTGTTCTGCTGAAGTGCTTTAACCTGAAGTTTTACCATTCATTGTGGACAAAAAAAACATCCTATTTTTGTATTAGTTTCTGCGTCTAATACTTGACATGTTTTTGTTTTGTTTTTCTTTACTTTCTCCTTTGTTGTATTCTCGGTGATGTGCCTGCCCCGTTTTAAAGCTGCTATTGAATGGAATCTTAAGCCACGGTCCTTTGCTGTGCGTCAAAGGGCTGCACAATATGAGGAGACACGTTATCCAATATTACCTTGTTCAATATCGATTAAATTGACCTTTTTGACACTTATTTATATGTGAAAATATGTCGTCATGAATGAGGCTCAAACTGGTGAACCATAGACTGTGCTAGCATAGGCCTAGCTCGTGATGCTAGCTGTGTAGCCGGCTAATCTTCAGCCTGCTTTCGTATTCATATAGAAACAGTGACCGTTGATTTTAAAAACCCCGGACCATGTAGAGCAGGGGTCTCCAACCTGTGGCTCGCCAACCCCCGACAGGAAGCTCCCCAAAGGATTCAGGAATTTGACACTTGATTTTAAGTCATTGCATCTAATTTGACTGATCTTAAAGGTTTATGAGGATTTTCCCACTTTTAGGAAAGAACTAGCCTGGCCTTATCCATCCGTACTCTCTGGTCAATCATCATGTCCTGCATGTAACGTCTGGGTCTGGTCCCTGTGTTTGCGATTACATAGATGGAATTCCATCCGACCAATCAGAGAGCGCGGGAGGCGGGTGTTGTAGTTAGTTGTGGGTGACGTCAAGGGTTTGCGTCGAACGGGAAGGTTGGAGTTTGGCGAAGAATGCGATAGTGAAATATTCCGGTCTGGTTCTATCAAGAAATTGAATCCGGAGCAAGAGGAATGTTTAGCAAATGTGATCGCTGGCAAAGATTGTGGCGCTACTCCCCACGGGCTCCGTTAGCAGCAAAGGAGATGGCTAAAGCTAGGCTAAATGCTAACGACTCACTCGGGCTCATTACATACGTGACGATAAACTCAGATCCAATGGTTTCAATCTGCAAAAGGAGTTAACCCCTCCCACCTGTTCACGGAGTCAATGGAGCAAATCCAGACCTTAGTATGAAATGAAATTTGTACTATGGTGTGGTACGACCAGGCTAGGAAAGAACCGCCCTCTCCACTTTTTGATCTTATTGGACGAGTCACCAGAATGATTGACAACTGGGAGGACCAATAGTCTTGATGATCCACCCGGAAGTAGAAAATCCTCCTATGTACTTTTTAATGAGGGTTATACAGTTATACGGTGGATTTTACTGTAAAAACGCTCAAGAATCTCTCAGATCTCACATGTTGGAAACCCCTGGAGTAGAGTATATTCCGACATAGAATTACTTACGAACAAACTCAGACCAAATTGAAAGGGTAGAAAAGCTAAGAGCGTTGTACTTGTATTATTTTTCAGACGATACATTTCAAACTGTTGGCGACTTTTCCAAACCTTTTCCTTTCCACTTGTAATTCCTACGATCGTACGATTTATTCACTGCGTTTTCGAAGCTTTCATAGACCGGAGCGAAGCTAACAGCTAGCATGGTAACTAGCGCTGGAAGAAGAACTTAAGTAAAAATACACAAATGTCACAGAATCTATAGTATTTACTGAAGCAGATATTCGTGTGTCGTAAAGTCAAAGTAACGATGGTGAAAATGTACAGAAACAAACCTTGTACTTTTACTGTTGCACTTCTTCCCTGATGCTAACAGCTCACTTCCGGGTTTGCAGAGATTTGGCTCAAACTACTGTATTGGAACAAAACTATGTTGAAATAAAATTGGGTACATCCTCCTTTTGTTCTTTCTTTGAAACGTTTTCATTCCAGTGTTTTCATTTTGGTTAAATGTTAAAACTCAGAAGGCTGTAGTCCAACAGTGTGATGGTGTTTGAATATCTAGATATCTGTGAAATACTTTGTTTGCTATTCTAGAAAAAATATGTGATAAGCAACATCTGTAGTAATTAACAATGATGTAGACATGACTTTTAAATATCCACCTGGTCCATAACATGGATCTATAATAATAACGGTCAGCACGGCACCAGCCCCTCGCTGATCCTGCAGGTGCTGAGGAGGATGATGGCTGCTCTGTGGCACAGCCTTGGTCTTTGAGCGGGGTCTTTCCTAAACCCGACAACAGCAGACATCGGTCGAGAAGGTCTTGTGGTGGGCTCGAACCCATGACCTCCAGGCTTAAAGGCCAATGCTGTTGCCCCTTTGAGTAAAGTCATAAAACCAATACCAAATTCTTCATTAACATTATAAGGTGAAGTCAGGATGGACTCACATCAGAAAGTGGCTTCGGCCAAATCTGTGATTAGCCAAAATACATTCAAGATTAATTAATGGGGCGACAGTAGCTCAGTTGGTAGAGCATTGGCCTTTGAGCCTGAAGGTTGTGGACTCGAGCCCACGGTAAGACCTATTTCGCGACTCCCACTGATGACTGCTGTTGTTGTGTCCTTAAGACACTTAACCCCATTTTGCTCCCACTGAAAGATCTCAGCTCCTGTGGACTCACCATCTGCAGGAGGAGACCCGACCCGACCCAGAAATGGATTGAGGGGAAGAAGAAGATGGATGGAAGTTTTAATAATATTACATCAGTTTTTAAAAGCCCTTTTTGGACGCTCAAAGACACTTGACATCATTCTTTCACGGTGGTGTAGCCACAGCTGCCCTGGGCACTCTGACAGAAGCAACCAGTCTGTGCCATCGGCCTCTACAACCACCAACAACCATTCACACAGACTCATTCTAATATGGGTGAAGTGTCTTGCCTAAAGAGACAATAGTTTGGAACTTTACAGCCACTCCACTGTGGCACCTGGTGTTCCCAGAGGTCTCCCATCACAGTACTAACCAAGCCCAGCCCTACTTTACTTCAGATGTCTGACTTTCATATGCATGTATGGCCAAAACTTAGCTGAAGGTTTAGTGAACTGAGGCGGCCAAAATATAAGATTCAGTTTTAAGTTAACAAGTATAAATTCATGAGATATTGAGGCGAGAACCAGAACATGAATGAGACTCGGAGAAGCAGAGAGTAGTGTTAGGATATGTTGACATTTATTGTGCAGTGACTTTTATATACATATATTTTGTACACCTCATTTACATGAAGAGAATAAATTAATCTGATGTGGGGCACAGATCAGAAGCACGAAGCAGCCGCAGCGTTTCCTCCGAGGCAGCGGGAGGAGACCATTCATTTCACTGCCACTTTTAGGTCAAATACACGCCATTTCTGTTATTTCTTTTGTTTCCCAAATCATACGATGAAATCTCAATCCCCAGGGGCCTGGAAAGTAGTCTGGTAAACCCTAAAAAGTAACAGTTTGAATGACATTTGTCCTTTTCACCAATTTCTCAAGTTTAGGCTGTTAAAAGTGGGACGTGTGTGAATTTTGTAGAGAGGTGGCGTGACAAACTTGTTAACTATATGTATTTTCCCGCCAAATATAACAAATTAAAGGCAATTTTTTTTTTACATTCAGTTTTCACAACACACCGACCTCCTCCCGGCTGCATCCATCCACAAAGTCCACTGCTGTGCTACAAAACATTTAGTCACTCACAGATAAAACTTCTACGTAGTGCTGTCTTTATCAAAAGTAAAATCTAAGCAGCTAATAATGAAGAACCGTCTCGATCGTGTGCAGTGTGTGCGAGTGGCTCCGCACACGCTGAAAACAACTCAGTCCCATTTCCCCCATTAATCCACATTTACCTGCTGTCTGTTCGGTCACAACATGGTCTAAAATCTACAGATATAGTTGGACAAACACCGACGTGGAGAAGAAACATGCCTATGAACACGAGACGGGGGGGAGGCGAGGCAGCAACGCACACATCCACGCGTTTGGAGAATAGTCCGAAGATACATTTCAGATTTGACCTAGTTTCTCGTTTAAAATGACGTGTTTCGGTGTTTGTGTAGCTGTATCGTCCACTCCCAGACACAATCTTTTCTCACCAAAATGGATCTACTTTGTACATGATGAGTGAGCTCCTCCGACATGCAGCGAGTGGGTTACACACACACACACACGACACTGTGAAAGCGGGCGCACAATTGTTTGTACAAGCGGCCGGTGCTGAGATAAACATGGAGTTATGGCACACACGCACGCACACAAACACGCAAACGCACACATTCAAACACACACAGAACCTGGAAATTGTTTAAGACATAAGAGAAACAGGCACTGGGCACATGGAAGAATAGCGTGGGTGGGTCTGGGTCTTGGATAATTTTTTAGACCTCATCAGACAAAGAATCACGCAACACAAGCAAAAACGTGCAGGAATATGAAAACTGGACTAAAATCTGAAAATTGGGAAATGTTATTGTAGAGTTAGCATCTATATATAGCACTATCATTAAAATTACAATATATGTCTAATATCCTTCATAATTAGACTTTCATAAATCTATTTAAGCTACACTTTATTATAAAACATCCACCATTTGTAATTCAATGGTCTTTCCACACACTACACATACAAGCTACTTCTGTTAGGGGCAAAAATATAATGAAAAGCTGGATAACTCCTCCATGTGCCCAGGGCCGTGTGCTTTGACTGCGCTCAGAGACACGTGGGGTCGAGATGAATCGGTTATCAAGGATCTGCCATAATCCTTTTCACTTTTTCCTAATGGGAAGCGTTGCAGTTTGAAAGCTCGTAAAGGTTTGCATCAGGTGTCAGCAGAAGTATTGAGATTGGTTCGACCTAAAGCCTGACTGGTACATCCTGCGTTAATATAGTTAGCCTCTGTTAGCTTAGTTATTAAGATTATTCAAAACTCCTATGGGGAAAATGCATGTAGATTTGCGTTCCTGGACCCAGAGTGGACTGTGAAGTGGCCTGGACTTGTTTGGAAAACCGTGTCCCGAGTAAATCCGCATTCTGATTGGCCGACAGTGAGACCACACATATGTAGCATTCTTACAAACGCAGTGAGTTTTTGATGGACGACTAAACTACCGCGGTGAACGTGGCACAGACATGAGGCCGGAGTTACAATCAAAGTGAGAGGACGGTGCCGCCGCGAGGGTTTACAGTCACGGTGAGGTGCAAACCGAAGGGGGCGGGGCCATAGTGGAATATGCATCGTGTGCGACATTCAAACGACGTGGAGAAGAAAACGTCACGACTTTCAAATAATGGCAGCACAAAGTTGGTCCGGTGACGCGTTTCGGAGCGGGGAGGCTGTACGATATTGCAAAAACCGTAAAGAGGACACATCATTTGCACGTTTGTTTTCATCACAAGGCGTCAGGAGAGAAACGGCCTTCGCTAAGACTGACTTAACCACTGCGAGCCAAAGCACCTCGTCTGGAATTTAAACAAAGAAATGCAGGTCGACTGTGCGGTTTTCCAGTCCATCAGACATGTTTGCTTTGAAACACTATCTCCGTTTCATTTCTCAATTTAGAGTAAGTTGAATTGTTAGAGGACTAAAGCAGTCACATTGAGAATATCTGTGGTTCTGAGCATTATTCAAAGTTATATTAAAGTTCAGTCAAATGTTAAAGGAGCAGTATGTAAAAATCTGCCCAAAAGAGGTACAGTAAGCTCCCAGTTTCAAGTTGCCAGATATGCAGACGAATCCAGCTGGGACCATAACAGCTGAATAGACAAGAGTTTTGTCAACAACAAATCTATAACCAACACCTTTTTCACAAAGATAGAAATCCTGGTTTTATTCCTCGTTTCGTTGTTAATGATTTGAGAATCATAACGAGACCTTTTTTAGTTCTGCGCCACATGGTACTTTACCAGTGAGATTAGCTCCACGCGGTGAGTTCTGGCGCCCGGATCACAGACTTTCTGATTGGTGAAACGGTGGAGGGCGGGACATCGAAATGAAAACAATAACAAGATTTAGAGGCTGGAAAAGTAATTTAGAAATTCAAATATCTCTGAACTACTTTTATCAGTTAAAGAAGAATTGGAAAAGAGCAGGTTTTATCAATGCCTTTTGACAGATTAGGGCACTTTAAAATGAATTTATATGAAAATCTTACATATTGCTATTTTAAAAGCAATATGTGATTCTTATAAAATGCCTGATGTGTCCCTTTACACTGTTGCAGTAACAGACGGTCACCTTCTACATCACTCCATTCACTCACAACTAAATGGAATAAGTTTGGTGACATGACGGTGTTTGAATATTGTGCAGCCGTGAGGTGTTTCCGGTGGACGGGGCTCAGGGCGACTGGGGGCCCGACTTGTAGCTCTTGAAGCTGCCCAGCAGGCTCTGGACGCCCTTGCGGACCCTCCGAGCCACCGAGTCGGCCGGGGGGGTGGGCAGGCAGGAGGCCAGGCTGGGCGGGCGTGCGTCCAGGCATTTCTGGTACCGCAGCTGCACGGGGGAGAAAAGGGGAAGAGTTAGAGACAGGAAACAGAAGTGAAAACAAAGCAATGTCCACCATTGTCCAAAGAGAACTATTCTGTGTAATAAAAATAATAATGAGGCTTGACCCTAATATGGATTAAGTTAGTCCTGACTTGAAAGTTTAGGCACCTCTGCTTCATTGGGATGTCTCTGTCCCTTCAACAGATTAACAGGGTTGGAGATTGATCTGTTCAGGAAAATGTGTTGTGTGTGGTGCCTGTGTCATTTGGGGCTAGAATTCTTGTAGGATTAGTGCTTAATTACCAAAATCTGGGTGGGACCGGGCTACGTGGGACCGGGCTACGTGGGACCGGGCTACGTGGGACCGGGCTACGTGGGACCGGGCTACGTGGGACCGGGCTACGTGGGACCGGGCTACGTGGGACCGGGCTACGTGGGACCGGGCTACGTGGGACCGGGCTACATGGGTCTGGGCTACATGGGTCTGGGTCATGTGGGTCTGGGTCATGACAGAAGATTCTAGGGTCAGGGGGTGGAGCTGGGGTGAGTAATTAGGAGACAGAGACTAAAGTAGTTTTGTGGTCATGGTGCCTTCACACTGTTGCCATGGAGACACAGTGCGCTCTGACTCACTCATTGTAAGCTACATTTAAAGACACAGTAGCTGACTCTCTACGTGATGTGATAGATCAAAGTGGGGGGGGGGGTCAGCAGCCTCACCATACAGGCGGCCTGCACAGCCTCGCTCAGACTGGCCGCGTTGGGCTCGCACCAGAACATGTGGCAGGTGAACTGGCTGGATCCTTCGGCCATGATGAAGGCGAAGGTGTGCACGTCTTTACCCACGCCCATGAAGGAGAGGAAGCGCACGCGGCACTCAGCCAGGACCTCCTCCTTCTACACACCCACACACACACACACACAAAGGTCATAAGATAAACACATATATACAAATCCATACAGTGTTTTTATGCACGTTCAAAGATGCTTCAAATGTCATTATACATTAGCTCCATACACAGAAGTGATAAACTACCCACAGTAGCCACAGCTGCCCTGGGGCACACTGACAGAAGCGAGGAAACCAGTCTGTGCCATCGGCCTCGTCAGCATTTTTACAGCTTGATCCTGTCTGCCTCCTTCATGTTTCGCTGCTGACACTGTATGTTCTGCTCCTGACACTGTATGTTCTGCTCCTGACCCTGTATGTTCCGCTCCTGACCCTGTATGTTCCGCTCCTGACTCTGTATGTTCCGCTCCTGACCCTGTATGTTCCGCTCCTGACCCTGTATGTTCCGCTCCTGACCCTGTATGTTCTGCTCCTGACCCTGTATGTTCTGCTCCTGACCCTGTATGTTCCGCTCCTGACCCTGTATGTTCCGCTCCTGACCCTGTATGTTCCGCTCCTGACCCTGTATGTTCCGCTCCTGACCCTGTATGTTCTGCTCCTGACCCTGTATGTTCTGCTCCTGACCCTGTATGTTCTGCTCCTGACCCTGTATGTTCCGCTCCTGACCCTGTATGTTCCGCTCCTGACCCTGTATGTTCCGCTCCTGACCCTGTATGTTCCGCTCCTGACCCTGTATGTTCTGCTCCTGACCCTGTATGTTCCGCTCCTGACCTGTCTGTCCAGGATGGTGAGTGTTGCGGGGGCCACGTTCAGAAACACAGGTGTCCACAGACTCTGCTCCTTTGTGTCCAGCGCCGCCTGCAGAGCGTCGTTGATCACGTCCACTCCTGGAAGAACATTCACAGTGACTGAGAAGGAGGAGCAGGAGGGGCAGGGAGGGGAGAGGAGCAGGAGAACCAGGGAGGGGGAGAGGAGCAGGAGAACCAGGGAGGGGGAGAGGAGCAGGAGAACCAGGGAGGGGGAGAGGAGCAGGAGAACCAGGGAGGGGGAGAGGAGCAGGAAAACCAGGGGGCAGGAGAGGCATGGAGCAGGAGAACCAGGGGGCAGAAGAACCAGGGAGTAGGAGAACCAGGGTGTAGGAGAGGCATGGAGCAGAAGAACCAGGGAGTAGGAGAACCAGGGTGTAGGAGAGGAGCAGGTCCTTACCCACTGGCTTGGACACCACCTCCTCTCCCAGGTAGTAGACGTGGAAGCGTTGGTACAACTCGTTCTTCGGAGCCGGGAACTCTGTCAGACACAGGAGCAGGAGGAGACTGGGTTAGTGCAGTCTGAGGACATGGAGGACTTATGACACTAGGGCCCTCAGAGACACTAGGCTCAGAGACACTAGGGCACTCTGAGACACTAGGGCACTCTGACACACTAGGTCACTCTGACACAGTAGGACCCTCAGAGACATTAGGGCCCTTAGAGACACTAGGGCCCTCAGAGACACTAGGGCCCTCAGAGACACACTAGGGCACTCAGACACACACTAGGGCACTCAGACACACACTAGGGCACTCAGACACACACTAGGGCACTCAGACACACACTAGGGCACTCAGACACACACTAGGGCACTCAGACACACACTAGGGCACTCAGAGAGACTAGGGCCCTCAGACACTAGGAACCTCAGTGACACCTTACGTTTTGGGAGCGAATTAGTAAAGAGGGTCTGAGGGAATAGGGACTTTGTGACTATTCACCAAAACAGCTTTTATAAACAAACAACATCACAACTCAGGCCCAGATCCCGGCTTCATTCATTTAGATTCAGAATGGACTGCCATTGTGCCCATAGAAGGTTCATTTGGACAGTGTTGTGATGTAGTAGTTTTACCTTCAGGGATCCCCAAAGGTTTGTTGAGATGGGTGCTCAGTCTGCCGGCCCCGGGTCTGGAGGCCTTCCTCTCGTCCATGATCTGAAAAAACCAAACACCGCATTAAACATTCTGCACCGTTTACAACACGCCTCACTTCTCTGCAAACTCATCTACAGTAAGTTATGGATTCCAACTGATTGAAAAGACAAAGAAAAGTTTAAATGTATATCTTGAATGAGGATCATTTCAAACCCACAATGTTAATATCTCACTACAACTTCAGCCATTTTCCTTCAGACTCACATTTCAAACCTGCTCTGAAGTCACTATCTCTCTCACACACACGTTACCTTTGAGCACATCTCGTGTAAACTGGTGGCGATGTTTTTGGCTGGCGTGTCGCAGCGGAACACGTGGCACTTGAGGACCTGGGTCAGGTTGTCTCTGGCCACATAAGCAAAGTCCCTGCAAAGACAGAGGGGGGCGTGAGAGCAGGCTCCACACAACAGCCTTCACCGAAACAACCATAGATTCAAATGTACCTTTCCCTGCAGGTGCAGAAAGAGCAGCGTGTAAGAGAAAAGGTTAGAGTTAGACATGTGACATCAACAAGGAGCTGTTTAGATCCTGAAAGATCAGACTGGTGCAGGAGACGTCTGACTATTACAGTATCCTACTCAGAGGTCTCCTTGACTAGGGTTGCCTGTGTGAATTAACAAGGGCATTCCTCTATATTTAAGGAAATAAAGAGGAATTAACTGAATTTTCCAAAGGACTGGCTGGCTCTTCATCGACAGCTTGAGTATAGTTGAGGTATAAAAAGTATATTTCACCATAATCAGATTCCACTCAAAAACACTTTGATCCATGTTTCTCCTCAATCACATGTAAGAAGAGTTCTAGAACACAAGACTGTTTAGTCCAAATAAAGTGCCTTCAACAAAGGTAAGTAAGATTTGATGATATTATGGGGAACTATCTGCACCGCTATGTTAAAAGTGTTTTTATTTTATGAATTCGGTTTATATTATGCCTGGCTGGATATGATACAATCCAATTACATTATAATTCATTACAATTCAATTTCCCAGTTTAACCCCCCAAGGAAATTTCCTGGAAACTTTCCATAACTTAACCAGCCGTTGTCCACCCCTTAGCAACCCCACCTCTAACTAACTAAAGCTAAATGATGCAACACAATTTGTTGATTTCAAAGACTTCACACATGAGCATTTCTTTCTGCCAAGAGTAAACAGAATAAAGCTGCTTCAAAAACATTTCAACAATCATTTAGTTGTGATTCACTCATTCACTGGAGTTGGGATCATTAGCATTATCCTGGATTCTAACATGGTGTGTGTGTGTGTGTGTGTGCGTGCGTGCAGTGTGTGTAGCTGCTTTGGGACGTACCTGCCGTTGTCGCGACCCACGCCCCACACTCGGATGCTCCCGATGGGCTGAGCGTGGAGCAGCGTCTGCCCCAGGGGGTCGATCAGCTTCATGGTGTCGCACTCCAGCACCATCAACATGTCTTTGCCCTGTCGCACAACAACACACACTTTAATAAACAAACACGGATGGATCATGAACTACTGTTTCAAAGATCTGCAAACAGCTCTGACCATGTTTTCAGTCTGAGGATTAGTCAGTCTGATAACAGCTTTTAGACTATCATAAACATGGATGTTGCTAAAAACAACTCCAGGTCTATTCTGAGGACATGGTTCAAATGGAGTCATTATTTACAGCAAAACCTCCAAGCAATAAAATCTAAGATGATGTAGACAGTTTGACGACAGATGTAGACTGTTGTAGACTGTTGTAGACTGTTGTAGACTGTTGTGGACAGATGTGGACAGATGTGGACAGATGTGGACAGATGTGGACAGATGTGGACTGTTGTGGACAGATGTGGACAGATGTGGACAGATGTGGACAGATGTGGACAGATGTAGACTGTTGTGGACTGTTGTGGACTGTTGTGGACAGATGTGGACAGATGTGGACAGATGTGGACAGATGTGGACAGATGTGGACAGATGTGGACAGATGTGGACAGATGTAGACTGTTGTGGACAGATGTGGACAGATGTAGACTGTTGTGGACAGATGTGGACAGATGTAGACTGTTGTGGACAGATGTGGACTAGGGCTGGGCAATAAATCGACTTTTGAAAAAATCAAATATGGGAAAAATTATTAAAATCGTGAAATCGAATGAAGGATACTGTGAGAGTTCCAGCAGCACATGAATTATACTTGCAATATCAGCACAGTCTGCACAATACTTTTATAGTACGTATTGGGGGAAACAAATCAAACATAGTTTTGAAACTTGAATATTGAGCCAAAAGATTAGGGCAAAGTCAAATTTAAAATCAAAATCGTCCAAAGCAGTAAATAAAATCGAGATTTTACTTTTTTGCCAAATCGCCCAGCCCTAATGTGGACTGATGTGGACTGATGTGGACAGATATGGACAGATGTAGACTGTTGTAGACTGTTGTGGACAGATGTGGACAGATGTGGACTGTTGTAGACTGTTGTAGACAGATGTGGACTGTTGTGGACTGTTGTGGACAGATGTGGACAGATGTGGACAGATGTGGACAGATGTGGACAGATGTGGACAGATGTGGACAGATGTGGACAGATGTGGACTGTTGTGGACTGTTGTGGACTGTTGTGGACTGTTGTGGACTGTTGTGGACAGATGTAGACAGATGTAGACAGATGTGGACAGATGTAGACAGATGTGGACAGATGTAGACTGTTGTAGACTGTTGTGGACTGTTGTGGACTGTTGTGGACTGATGTGGACAGATGTGGACAGATGTGGACAGATGTGGACTGTTGTAGACTGATGTGGACTGTTGTGGACAGATGTGGACTGTTGTGGACTGTTGTGGACAGATGTGGACAGATGTAGACTGTTGTGGACAGATGTGGACTGTTGTGGACTGTTGTGGACTGATGTGGACAGATGTAGACAGATGTGGACAGATGTAGACTGTTGTGGACAGATGTGGACAGATGTGGACAGATGTGGACAGATGTAGACAGATGTGGACAGATGTAGACTGTTGTAGACTGTTGTGGACTGTTGTGGACTGTTGTGGACTGATGTGGACAGATGTGGACAGATGTGGACAGATGTGGACTGTTGTAGACTGTTGTAGACTGTTGTAGACTGTTGTAGACTGTTGTGGACAGATGTAGACTGTTGTAGACTGTTGTAGACTGATGTGGACTGTTGTGGACAGATGTGGACTGTTGTGGACAGATGTGGACAGATGTGGACTGTTGTGGACAGATGTGGACTGTTGTGGACTGTTGTGGACTGTTGTGGACTGTTGTGGACTGTTGTGGACAGATGTGGACAGATGTAGACAGATGTAGACTGTTGTGGACTGTTGTAGACTGTTGTAGACTGTTGTAGACTGTTGTAGACTGTTGTAGACTGTTGTAGACTGTTGTAGACTGTTGTAGACTGTTGTAGACAGATGTAGACAGATGTGGACTGTTGTAGACTGTTGTAGACTGTTGTAGACTGTTGTGGACAGATGTGGACAGATGTAGACTGTTGTGGACAGATGTAGACAGATGTAGACTGTTGTAGACTGTTGTAGACTGTTGTAGACTGTTGTAGACAGATGTAGACTGTTGTAGACTGTTGTGGACAGATGTGGACAGATGTAGACTGTTGTAGACTGTTGTAGACTGTTGTGGACAGATGTGGACAGATGTGGACAGATGTGGACAGATGTAGACTGTTGTGGACTGTTGTGGACAGATGTGGACTGTTGTGGACAGATGTGGACAGATGTGGACTGTGGTGGACTGTTGTGGACTGATGTGGACTGATGTGGACTGATGTGGACAGATGTGGACAGATGTGGACTGTTGTGGACTGTTGTGGACAGATGTGGACAGATGTGGACAGAGGTGGACTGTTGTGGACTGATGTGGACTGTTGTGGACAGATGTAGACAGATGTAGACAGATGTAGACTGTTGTAGACTGTTGTAGACTGTTGTGGACTGTTGTGGACTGTTGTGGACTGTTGTGGACAGATGTAGACAGATGTAGACTGTTGTAGACTGTTGTGGACAGATGTGGACAGTTGTGGACAGATGTGGACAGATGTGGACTGTTGTAGACTGTTGTGGACAGATGTGGACTGTTGTGGACTGTTGTGGACTGTTGTGGACAGATGTGGACAGATGTGGACTGTTGTGGACAGATGTGGACAGATGTGGACTGTTGTAGACTGTTGTGGACAGATGTGGACAGATGTGGACTGTTGTGGACAGATGTGGACAGATGTGGACTGTTGTAGACTGTTGTGGACAGATGTGGACTGTTGTAGACAGATGTGGACAGATGTGGACTGTTGTAGACAGATGTGGACAGATATACCTCGCCCCAGATGCCGGCCGTGTCGTGGATGTTGTTCTTGTGGTAGGAGAGCTGACGGATGCAGTTGTTGACGGCGACGCTGCTTTTGCCTGGAGTCAGATCCTCCTCAGACATCTCCACCCAGCCCAGCGAGCGCACGGCAAAGCACTACACACACACGCACACGCGCACACACACACACACACACACGCACACGCGCACACACACACACACACACACACACACACACTGTTACAGCCGAGAGAAACACTTGGCTTCTCTAGTCCGACCGCTACATGTTGGTTATTGGGAGAATCTGATGCAAGACCAGCCTTTTCTAAATGATAAACTGTACATATTTTCACTTGTTTATTTCACTACTGTGTTGTTTTAGCAGATCATAGTAATCAAAGGTTGGTTTTGCTTGTATGTCTAAGGTGGGAAAGAGAATTGTCCTATAACCAAAGTCAAGCTGTGTTAAATATCAAACATTATAAAAACTAAAAATAGTGGAAAAATCATTTAACCTTTGCCTCTACACCAGAAGAGAGAGGAGCGAGCTTTTCTTCATTCTCGGACTGAGAGATGTTGTAGCTACAACGGAAACATGGATAATAGGTTTAACACATACAAGTCCAAATACACAGTAGATGTGCGAGTCTTTATGAGTGCAGTACTTGAGATTGATGGACGCATAACGTAATGTAGCTCCTTCAAACTCCTTCAGGCTGGCGTCAGGTGCGACCTCTCTGTCCTGTAACAACAGCAGATATAAGAAGGATTAGGTGTACAGTATGAATTGTAGTAGTTTAGAACAATGTTGTTTAGGATTACATTTAATAAAAACTTAAATGTTCTAACCTTCCACAGTTCTCCTTCCTGGGCAGTTTCTTCTGTGTTAGAAAGTGAGCTCCACGAGTCCTAGGCATGAAGAGATCAGTGAATATCTATCCATCAGTTGGAGTGGGTGTGTGTGCTTACGTGTGTGTGGGTGGGTGTGTGTGTGGATGTGTGTGCGTGTGTGTATAGCTCACCTCGGGCTCCTCCACAGGTGTGGTCTCCAGGGACATGCTGGAGGGCAGCAGACAGTCTGAGAGTCCTTCCATGTCAGAGGGAGGGTCCCACTGGGTGGTCCCTGTGGGGATGTGCCAGTAGTATGTGCCTGAGGTGTCCCGTACTCTCATCCAGCCAGAGGGCAGCTCCGTGTCCGTCTCAAATGCACTGGAGTCCCAGAACGACTCTGCAGAACAGAGCTCATATGAACTTGTGGATGTACGAGACGTTCTCTCCACAATCCTTCATCACCAATAAATAACTGCTGGAGCAAATGGTCGCCTGAGGTCATCAACAATAATCAAATAAAGTCCTCACCACTCACTTAATAGTGATTTAAACCCCACAGACCTATGGGCACTCATGCTTCTACCACTTTAACCACAGTTTACTGCTAATGGTGCACTCACATTTGGTCCTGTGGAGGTGGATGTAAAAGCACCAAACCAGTTGATCCTGATTCAGTGATGGACACACACCTCTGTTTCCATTGGGCGTGGAGTCGCCCGCGTTGTCCTGGCAGAGGGGGGTCCAGCTGCTCTCCTCCTCCACAGGCGTCTCGTTCATGTTGGAGAAGAGGAGGCAGGCGCTCCTCCCGCTCACGCTGCCCTCTCTCTGCGGCTCGGCTCCGGGCTCCACAGGGGCCTCCTCCTCCCCAGGGGGCTTCTCTCCTCTGCTGCCCTCTGCTGTCTGTTCGCCCTTCTCCTGGACATCCTGCTCCGTCATGTCCTGCTTCTCGGTGATGTCAAGAGAGTCGATGACGAGAGCCTGGAGGAGCCACATCAGCTCAAATCAAGCAGATGTAGATAATAGGTATACTTTGAAAAGCCCATTCTCTCAGACCTCGCTCAGACCTGGCACAGACCTCGCTCAGACCTCGCTCAGACCTCGCTCAGACCTCGCTCAGACCTCGCTCAGACCTCGCTCAGACCTGGCTCAGACCTGGCTCAGACCTGGCTCAGACCTGGCTCAGACCTGGCACAGACCTCGCTCAGACCTGGCTCTGACCTGGCACAGACCTGGCACAGACCTGGCACAGACCTGGCTCTGACCTGGCACAGACCTGGCACAGACCTGGCACAGACCTGGCACAGACCTGGCACAGACCTCGCTCAGACCTGGCTCAGACCTGGCTCTGACCTGGCACAGACCTGGCACAGACCTGGCTCTGACCTGGCACAGACCTGGCACAGACCTGGCACAGACCTGGCACAGACCTGGCACAGACCTCGCTCAGACCTGGCTCAGACCTGGCTCTGACCTGGCACAGACCTGGCACAGACCTGGCTCTGACCTGGCACAGACCTGGCACAGACCTGGCACAGACCTGGCACAGACCTGGCTTAGACGCCTTATGAACCCAGGCGGAGTATGAACTCAAAGACGTTACAGCTTTTTTTGGTCCGTAACAGTAATTAGTGACTTTGGCCTCTAGTGCATCTTGAAGATACTTTACCACCTCGTCTGACAACACCTAGTCTTATAAATCTTATAAACCTACTCATGATTGTTCAGTTATTTCATTTATAAATGTAAATGCTTAAAACAAACTCCTTTCTTGACTGTATTTTAATCCAGCTAGAACAGCTTTGATGTTAATTGCACATTTATGGTCATCGAATGCTCCCAGTGATTCAAAAACACTCATATCCAGCAGCCCTCACCTGCACCAGCGCCTCGTTCAGCAGGTTCTTGGACTCCTCCTGGTTCAGGGTGGGCGTCAGGGCCTTGTTGGGGGAATTGCTCTGCTCCTCGTTCTCTTGTAGCTCGTCCTGAGTGCTGTTGCCGTTGTGGCTGATATTGCAGTTGTGGTCCTGGTCCAGCTGGTTCTCGCTGACCTTGCGTAGCTGGTTCTGTCCCTCTTTGAGCCACTTGGTGTTGTTGGCGGTGAGCTCCTGCTTTTGCTTGCCCACCACATAGGGCAGCTCTTCGTCGTCATGGCCCCCCATGGCTCTTGACCGTAAAAACAACTCTGGGGAACAAATAAATACATGTTTTTATTCATGGAGGTTTAACAGGTTTAAAAATTAAAAATAAACTATGTTCCTATGGAACATTTTTCCTCAGCAACAGCAGAACTGGGCGGAATCATGTCCTGCTCCTAACTGTTATCTGCACTTTCAAACAACATGTTTTTATTGTAATAACTCATCATTTTGTATTGGGGTTATTTGAACACTCAAAGACTCCTCAAATGTCATTATCCTTTCACTCCATAAACAGTGATGATAAACTACCACTGTAGCCTCAGCTGTCCTGGAGTATGTGCCATCGGCTTCTTCTGTCAAACACCAGCCATTCACTCACAAACCAGATTCACTCGAGACACTGTGGGTGAAGTGTCTTGCCTAAAAACATATCAACAGTTTGGCAGTTATTACAGCCAAAGCCACCCTGTGGCACCTAGTGTTTCCAGAGGTCTCCCATCACAGTACTAACCAGACCCTGCCCTGGATTTTACTGTAATGGAATACACTTTGTGTTGCATTTTTTTAAATGAAAAGTGCTTTATAAATAGAATATGATTGATTGAAGTATTGCTAGCGAATTCATTTTGAGAATTAGCAAGAGGCTGTATATGCAGCACGCAAATGATGATGGGAAGGGGAAGGTGTGGAATGTCTTGATGTTGAAAAAGAAATTCCACACCTTCCCTGTTGTTAAAAGTGGGGAATGTCATGCTAAGATTTAAACACATACAGATACTTCCTAAAGTAAACTTAAAAACACATTTTGCATTCTAAAACATGAACTGCCAAAGTAAATAGTTTCATGATAATGTGTAATTAGGAGGATGTTACGCTGTGGAACATTCCAGGCAAAACAAAAACACTTAGATGGACCCTCTACTTGGAAAGTTGTGTAACCCTTGGCTTTACTAATTATGTGCATCTATGAAGACACTTTTTAGTATACTTTAGTATCAGTGACAGATAATTACCAGTCTGTTAAATTATAATAACAATGATCAATGGAGGGGCATTAGCATCCCTAGCTTCTATGCTAATGGTCTCAGACAGCAGAGGAATGTCTGTGGAATGTGTGAACCAGCAGTGAAGGGTGATGTCAACACCTCGTCTTAAATATATGACTGTGATTGTTCAGTTATTTAAATTATACATTAACACACAAGAAACAAACTCCTTTCTTGACCGTGATTTAATCCTAGAACAGCTTTATCGTTAAGATGCACGAATATCGTCATTGGTCCCGACGCTAACGGGATGTTTTAGTCTATGGTTGTTTTACACAGTGGGTAAAAAAACAAACACATGAAAAGTGTATAAAATGTGTATTATAGCAGTTAATGTCACATGTCATTATATGGTTAGTGCGTCTGTTGTAGATAACGGGCTGTCATTATCCCCAGGCGTCGTGTTTTCTGCTCTGCTAGTGTAGTTAGCATGATAGCAATAAAGCTAACGGGAGGCTAGTGCAGTTAGCATGATAGCCTCTAAAGCTAACGGGAGGCTAGTGCAGTTAGCATGATAGCCCGTAAAGCTAACGGGAGGCTAGTGTAGTTAGCATGATAGCCTCTAAAGCTAACGGGAGGCTAGTGCAGTTAGCATGATAGCCTCTAAAGCTAACGGGAGGCTAGTGCAGTTAGCATGATAGCCCGTAAAGCTAACGGGAGGCTAGTGTAGTTAGCATGATAGCCTCTAAAGCTAACGGGAGGCTAGTGCAGTTAGCATGATAGCCTCTAAAGCTAACGGGAGGCTAGTGCAGTTAGCATGATAGCACTAAAGCTAACGGGAGGCTAGTGTAGTTAGCATGATAGCCTCTAAAGCTAACGGGAGGCTAGTGCAGTTAGCATGATAGCCCGTAAAGCTAACGGGAGGCTAGTGCAGTTAGCATGATAGCAATAAAGCTAACGGGAGGCTAGTGCAGTTAGCATGATAGCAATAAAGCTAACGGGAGGCTAGTGCAGTTAGCATGATAGCACTAAAGCTAACGGGAGGCTAGTGGAGTTAGCATGATAGCCCGTAAAGCTAACGGGAGGCTAGTGTAGTTAGCATGATAGCCCGTAAAGCTAACGGGAGGCTAGTACAGTTAGCATGATAGCACTAAAGCTAACGGGAGGCTAGTGCAGTTAGCATGATAGCACTAAAGCTAACGGGAGGCTAGTGCAGTTAGCATGATAGCACTAAAGCTAACGGGAGGCTAGTGCAGTTAGCATGATAGCACTAAAGCTAACGGGAGGCTAGTGCAGTTAGCATGATAGCAATAAAGCTAACGGGAGGCTAGTGCAGTTAGCATGATAGCACTAAAGCTAACGGGAGGCTAGTGCAGTTAGCATGATAGCAATAAAGCTAACGGGAGGCTAGTGCAGTTAGCATGATAGCACTAAAGCTAACGGGAGGCTAGTGCAGTTAGCATGATAGCACTAAAGCTAACGGGAGGCTAGTGTAGTTAGCATGATAGCCCGTAAAGCTAACGGGAGGCTAGTGTAGTTAGCATTGTAGCAATAAAGCTAACGGGAGGCTAGTGTAGTTAGCATTGTAGCAATAAAGCTAACGGGAGGCTAGTGCAGTTAGCATGATAGCACTAAAGCTAACGGGAGGCTAGTGTAGTTAGCATGATAGCCCGTAAAGCTAACGGGAGACTAGTGTAGTTAGCATGATACCACTAAAGCTAACGGGAGGCTAGTGCAGTTAGCATGATAGCACTAAAGCTAACGGGAGGCTAGCGAGCTGCTCCCCGGCTGTCGCCTCAAAGTCACGGCACAGATGTGTTCATATTCCCGCAAGGTTCTGTCGGATCGTGGACTTACCCGCGTCCCCCGGTCCCCTGCTGTGTGTGGTGTCGACCTGCGCGGTGGCTCTACATGTTTCCGCGGCTGTCGGGGCCTTGATCGGTGCCTAGGCGGTGCTTGTGTGGGGGAGCTCCGGTGGTACTGCAGCCGATGGAGGCGAACAGCGTCAGGCTCACGTCACGCAACAGCAGCATCCACACATCCATCCTCTGCCTCCTCCTCCTCCTCCTCCAGCCCCGAGAGGAGAAACCATGGATGCAAGAAACCAGCTGCACACCAAGGATGTCAACATTATTTGATCACAACAACATTATTTGTCTCTTCCTCGCGATAATCAAACTCCACTCTGCAGAAAGTGCGGAGAAAGCTTTACACTGTTCAAATATAGAAACGACATGTCTCTAATGTATGTTTGACATCTGAAACTTTATGAATCAATCACTTTAACATTTGCAAACGGAGATGATCATTTCAAGAAAAGAACCAAACCTGCTGAATAACCCTAAGACAGATGTCCTAAAGGTCATATGGACATGGGACTGAAGACTTTGGGTCCATGATGGGTGGACGATGGATACTGATGTGGGTAGATTATACAGGATCAGGACCATCTGAACCAAGTATTCCACAGCATGGCCGACCTTCCCTCCTCTTCACCTGATTTGGTTAGCGCCATGAAAACATGAATAAAGACAGATCTATCTGGGCTGATGCTGCATGAAGAGAGGACCTCAACCCTTGTTCTATCCTCGGGTCAAATTGACCCACCACAGTAATTAAAACATTTCCTAAATTGGCCATTCTCTGTCATTTAGACTCTTTTAAACCCTGTTTGGGGTATTTTTCTTCTGCTTTAATTGGTTAAAAAACGTGAGTCATCAAATTTTTATGGTAATATTTAGTTTGGTCAACTGGTCAAAAATAAGAAGGTCCTACGGTCAGATGAAAAAACATAATAGAACTTTCTTATATTAAAAAGGGCATCTTTTTCTCAGTTCAAAGGGACTGACAGGATGCACGTACAAAGTCAGGATCACACACTTCCGATTCCAGTTTCTAATTGTTATTCCTACATCAAAAGACACAACATGCAGATTGCCAAAAATCCTTGCAAACTCCTCAGTAGTACACTTCACTTTATTATCGCCTTATAAATACATACATTTATAATTTTCAACACTTTTGAACTTGCCCAAAGCTGGTGGTACAGATGCAATGACGACAACAGACCATGTGAGCTCAGTTACCGGGAGGGCAGGAAGTCAGAAGCCAAGACTCAGGGAAATACACATTCATGATTCATTCATCAGAGAAGTTTATCACTTTAGTCTCTGCAAAAAGCACATTGAGCCACGAGCAGAGGGTTCTTGCTGCAAAGGCCAAACCAATTATTAAGACTTTTAAATCCACAACAAGACTAAGATCACGTTTGACTCAGAATCATGAGAAATGACGCAGGACACTGGAGCAGCACAATCTTTGAAAAATATCTATTTTCAGTCTTTTAAGGCATTCCACATACAATACTTCAGACATGCTGCGTATGAAGAGCTTCTGCCTGATCCTGTTCCATGGGTTTGAGCAAAGCTTTGTCCCAGAGCAGACATGTTGTAAAAGCAGCTTCATGGTTTTTTGTTTTTTACAATGTTTTATTATTAATCAAGAACGTTTAAACCACACAAGCTCCAGGTGTTGAAGCTGCTTTTACAGTGGTCAAAACACTCACGCGCTAAAAAATGATATTTTGTCCATTACACAAAGCATTAAACTCCTTAGCAACTGTTGTCATGGCCAACACAAAGACACACAGATTGGAATTATCTGAAATTTCTCCACTGTGGGACGAATAAAGACACTTAACCCCACTTTGCCTGAAGCCCCCACTAACACATTGTTCCGTGGACTCAGCACCTGCAGGAGGATCAACGAGGGACTGGTGCTCTGAGAATTGGACTAAAAAAAGGGGGATGAAAATAAATCAAAATCTACTAATATTTTGATTTGACGCTTATTTGACTCTAATAATAGAATGAGGGGAAAACTTGACAATGAAGGAGCAGGGAACGAAATGGTATGTTATTTAATCACTGAATCTATTTGGTGTTCACGATGTGTCGGGTACCCCACTTTGGAACCACAAAAACTACGACGCTTATCAAATTCATGTCTCTGGCTCTAAAACAATTTGTTCCGTCACTAGTTTTCACACTTATTTTTGGAATCTGTCACATTTTTAGACGGGCTTTTTCAGACAGAAAACGGAAGGAAGTGACGTATAGAGAGAAAAGAGTCGTCCACCTCAGCTCTCGTGTGTGTGAAAGATCTGAAAACTGCAGTTCACGAGCACTCAACATCTAATCTAACTGGAATTGAGCTGTTTTGCAAAGAAGAATGAACAAAACATCCAGTCTCAAGATGTGCAAGACTAGTAAAGACACATAGACCAGCAGCTGCAGTATTGACTCAGGGGATATAAACTTTTGCACATCCACTTTTCTGGTCCAAGCGTTATCGGCTGTGGATTTTTATGTTTGTTTATGTATTCTGCTTTTGCAACATCACGTTTCTGGGATAAAAACCACATTCTTCATAAGTCTGTGGAGAAAAATAAATCAAGTTCATGCTCTTTTGGGCATAGAAACAACAGCTGATGGTTCAGACAGGTCCTGCTGGTTTGACTCAGGGGGCGGGGCTAAGGCATTCCTGGTGCAGCATCACAGTGAGTCCGGGGCCCAGCGCCTGACGGGGAGGGGGTCTCACTTATCCTGCATCTTGTCCAGGATGGGCACGATCATGTCGAACTTGGGCCGCTTGGCTGGGTCCTCGTTCATGCAGATCTTCATCAGTTTGCAGATGTGAGGGGAGATTCCAGGAGGGATGGTGGGCCGCAAGCCTTCCAAGGAGATCTGGGACAAGGGACAGGAGGACAGAGGAGAGAGGAATGAGGACAGGAGGACAGGAGGAGAGAGGACAGGGGAGAGAGGACAGGGGACGGAGGAGAGAGGACAGAGGAGGGAGGACAGAGGAGAGAGGACATGGGCGAGAGGACAGAGGAGGGAGGACAGAGGAGAGAGGACATGGGAGAGAGGACAGGGGAGAAAGGACAGGGAACGGAGGAGAGAGGACAGAGGAGAGAGGACATGGGAGAGAGGACAGGGGAGAGAGGACAGGGGAGAGAGGACAGGGGAGAGAGGACAGAGGAGAGAGGACATGGGAGAGAGGACAGAGGAGAGAGGACATGGGAGAGAGGACCGGGGCAGAGAGGACATGGGAGAGAGGACAGAGGAGAGGACAGAGGAGGGAGGACAGAGGACATGGGAGAGAGGACAGGGGAGAGAGGACATGGGAGAGAGGACAGGGGAGAGAGGACATGGGAGAGAGGAGAGAGGACAGAGGACATGGGAGAGAGGACAGAGGAGAGAGGACAGAGGACATGGGAGAGAGGACAGAGGACCAACACGACTATCAGTTACATGCACAGCCATAAAGTCTCACACTGATAGAACCCGTAGGATGCTCCCTGTGGTCTCTGTTCTAACCTTCTGTGTGTGTCCATCAGTTGGTTTTATTGTGTGTGTCCATCAGTTGGTTTTATTGTACTGCTTATTTTTTAGGTTTAGGAAAGGTTTATCTTGCCTTCTTGGTAGAAATAAAAGTATTTTGTTCTTCTATACCAGACAATAGTAAGTTAGCGATGTCATTTCCATGACATGTTTCAAAAGTAGACTTCTGTCTTCGTCAGAAGCGTCCATGCTTCGTGTTTTGACTGAAAGTTGCGTCATATATATATATTTTGGGTTGACAAGCGCCTGGCTGTGCGGCTCATTAGATTCTCCTGCACAGCTCGCCGGCTGCTTCTAACGACGTGTGTGGTGTGTAGAGAACGTAAATCTGCTTCCCTCTGGATTTGTCCTGAGTGTGAGAGTCTGTGTGTGTGTACGTGTGTGTGTGTGTGTACGTGTGTGTGTGTGTGTGTACGTGTGTGTGTGTATGTACGTGTGTCTGTGTGTACGTGTGTGTGTTGTGAGTGTACGCGAGTATGAATGAGTCTGAGAGTAGGGATGTAAAAAACTATGAATTTTCATGACCGACCACCGAGCCTCATTAACCGGTTGAAACCGGTTTAACCGCGTAGTTTAAAATAGTCCACGTTCTTAGAAATAACAGCCATTTCGAGCCGCGTACTTTTCACAAGAGCAGCTCTGCGTTCTACTGGATCAGAGCCGAGACAGCGGCGCCAAAACCCACAACAGCTTCGGCACCTTTGCGCACAGAGAACTGCTGTTTTAATCTTCCTGTTCTGCTGTGCTGCGGGTTAAAACTTTTTTAATCAAAAGACTGCTCGTTCACATGGTCAGAGCAGCGAGTGACGAGCTGCGTCTCGCAGGTCTCCGCTAAAGTTTAAAAGTGATGTGTGTGGAGCTGATGCCAAGAACCAGCAGTAAAAACATGGTCCATGTGGTTTGACTGGAGCCGCGTATTTTTTCGGATCCTTTGGGCTGCGCGACAGACCGGTATGTGTGTGTGTGTACAATACATGTATGTGTGTGTGTACAATACATGTATGTGTGTGTAAATATAAGCTCCAATGTAGTTCTGACCCGCACCAGTGTGCAACTAGCAGGCGGTAACAGAGGGGAGAGATGCGTGTGGATGTTACGTATCGAAAGTGTGTGTGTGTGCGTGTGTGTGCGTGTGTGTGCGTGCGTGCATATGCGGCGCGTGCGGCGTGAGGGTCGGCCCGGAGTTTACCGATACATTGGCGCACACAGCTACAGTGACTTGCGAAAGTATTCGGCCCCCTTGAACCTTTCAACATTTTGCCACATTTCAGTCTTCAAACATAAATATATAAAATTTTATTTTTTTGTCATGAATCAACAACAAGTGGGACACAATCGTGAAGTGGAACAAAATTTATTGGATAATTTAAACTTTAAAAAAAAAATTAAAACTGAAAAGTGGGGCGTGCAATATTATTGGGCCCCTTTACTTTCAGTGCAGCAAACTCAGTCCAGAAGTTCAGTGAGGATCTTTGAATGATCCAATGTTGTCCTAAATGACTGATGATGATAAATAGAATGCACCTGTGTGTAATCAAGTCTCCGTATAAATGCACCTGCTCTTTGATAGTCTCAGGGTTCTGTTTAAAGCGCAGAGAGAACCATGAAGACAAAGGAACACACCAGGCAGGTCCGAGATACTGTTGTGGAGAAGTTTAAAGCCGGATTTGGATACAAAAAGATTTCCCAAGCTTTAAACATCTCAAGGAGCACTGTGCAAGCAATTATATTGAAATGGAAGGAGTATCAGACCACTGCAAATCTACCAAGACCCGGCCGTCCCTCCAAACTTTCATCTGAAACAAGGAGAAGACTGATCAGAGATGCAGCCAAGAGGCCCATGATCACTCTGGATGAACTGCAGATAACTACAGCTGAGGTGGGAGAGTCTGTCCATAGGACAACAATCAGTCGTGCACTGCACAACTCTGGCCTTTATGGAAGAGTGGCCATTTCTCAAAGATATCCAATAAAAGTCTCTTAAAGTTTGCCACAAGCCACCTGGGAGACACACCAAACATGTGGAAGAAGGTGCTCTGGTCAGATGAAACCAAAATCAAACTTTTTGGCCACAATGCAAAACAATATGTTTGGCGTAAAAGCAACACAGCTCATCACCCTGAACACACCACCCCCACCTCAGCTGTCCTGGTGTGAAGTTTGAACTTTTTTATCCAGCGAGACTGCATATTACTCCTCAGAGCGGACAAACTCACAAATTTGAAGACCCGACATTGGCTATGGACTTTGTGCTGAAACGTTTAAAAACTGTGGTGATCCCGGAGTCTGTTTGAAGTTAGGTAACCTACCGGTTGAAGTAAACATTTTGCTCTGACATTATGACAACATACTATAATTTGAGTGTTCTCATTGTTGTACTGGCATTATTATGTTGCTCTTTGACAGGTCCACTTACTTGATATCTGTATTTGTATTAGGAGATATTGTTATCCTGACAGGGAATTATAGATTTTTCTTGATTGATTGATAACTTTTTTTAAAAAATTATTTTACTTTATTTTTATTTTATTGATTTATTTTATTTTATTTATTATTTTTTGTGTGATCATTAGCCACCGCATTATTTTGTGTGTAGATTTCTTCTTTTTTTTGTTTTTTTTTGTCTGATTTTTGTTTGTTTTTTCTTTGTTTTTTTTGTTTGTTTTTTTTCTTTTTTTTTTCTTGCTAATATTTCTTTAGATTGTACTTTAATGGGTCTTATTTGTATTCTTTAATTTTTTGTTATATACTTTATGTATTTTATTTTATTGTCATACCAAGGTGTCAATCTGTTTTTTTTTTGTTTTTTTTTACCTAACAAGGTGTGTTCTAATTTTTAAAATTATATTTCACATTCCATTTGGAGGGGTTTATAGTTGAATCTTCCTCCAGGGCCCTTTGCAGGCTAGGTTATGGGTGTTTTGGGGTGGAGTGGGCATCGCGCATCCCGTTTGGGGGGATGCTTCTGCGAGAGTTCTGATGTTTCATGTTTTTGTTTCATTTTGTTTTGTTTTTGCACGCCAACCTCTCTTTTTGTTTTATATTGTCGACCAATTGTCCAAGTTAGCCCTCATACAACCCTACTGTTTAAATCTAAGATGCTATGCTGTCTTCAATAGGACAGGACCTCCGGTTCACAAGCTTTAATTGCAAGGGACTTAATAACCCCATTAAACGCAGTAAAGTGCTTCATCATCTTCAGCAACTTGGAGCTCGGGTTACTTTCTTGCAAGAAACTCATCTTCGGAATGTAGATCATCTGAAATTGAAGAGGAGCTGGGTGGGTCAGATATTTCATTCCTCTTTTTCTGGTAAGGCCAGGGGCACGGCTATTCTCTTACATAAATCTGTTCCCTTTGTTTCGGACCAGGTTATTTCTGATGTTAATGGTAGGTACGTTATTGTCACTGGGACAATTTTGGGCCGTCGTATTGCATTAGTTAATATTTACGCGCCAAACACCGACGACGAATCCTTCTTTAAGCATTTATTCCACTCTATACCGGATATGTCTACGCATTATCTGATATTGGGTGGAGACTTTAACTGTTGGCTCGATCCTAATTTAGACCGCTCCTCGGCAAAACCAGCTGTCATTTCACGTTCGGCAAAAGTGATCCGGTCCTTTATGGACGAATTCTCTGTAACTGACTCATGGCGTTTTTTTAATCCTTCTAAAAGAGAATTTGTTTTTTTTTGTCCGTGCGTCGTACATTTACTCGCATTGATTTATTTCTGGTTGATAATCGATTACTTTCATCTATAACTTCATGTCGTTATGATGCTATTGTTCTCTCTGATCATGCACCACTAGTAATGGACGTCAAACTGAGCATGATGTCAACTGAACGTCCACGGTGGCGATTAAATGTGCGCTTATTGTCGGACAATAATTTTGTCATCTTTGTCTCGGGACAAATTGACTTTTTTCTAAGCACCAATAGAACCCCAGGGGTGTCTGCCTCCTTTGGGAGTCGTTTAAAGCATATATGAGGGGAGAAATTATGTCATATATACACCATGAGAATAAAGTGAGACAAGAAAAGCTACGTAGTTTGAGAGAGCAAATCTCACAACTCGACAATATATATTCACTCTCACCCTCTCCGAATTTGTATAAGGATCGTGTTTCATTACAATCAGAATTTGACACAATTATGACTTACCGTACTACTGAACTTATGCTTCAATCAGGTGCTCGTTTTTTTGAGCATGGTGATAAGGCTGGTAAATTGCTGGCACACCAAATCCGACAGGTATCTGCCTCTTGCCAAATAACTAAAATCCAAGCAGCTCAGAGTGTAACAGCTGATCCTTCGGAAATTAATGCGACCTTTAAAACATTTTACAACTCACTATATACATCTGAATGCACTCCTACAGATGACGATTTTGAAACTTTTTTCTCAAGTTTAACTATTCCCATGCTCACTCAGGAAACCGCTACTAATTTGGGCAAACCAATTGCTCTCGCTGAACTTAATTCTGCCATACAGTCTCTTCAGGGTGGGAAATGTCCGGGCCCCGATGGCTATCCATCGGAGTTTTATAAAACATTCAAAGATAAAATTGCCCCTTTGCTATTGGACATGTATAATGAATCATTTAATTCCGGAGTTTTACCCCAAAACACTTAATCAGGCCACAATCTCAGTTCTTTTGAAGAAGGGAAAGGACCCCCTTAACTGTTCATCTTACCGCCCCATAAGCCTTTTAAATGTAGATTTTAAACTGTTATCCAAGGTTCTGGCTACACGCCTTGAATCTCATTTAACCACTATTGTTAATCCGGACCAAACAGGTTTTATTCGAAATAGACATTCTTTTTCTAATCTTAGGAGACTATTCAATATAATCTATGATACCTCACCAAGCAACTCACAAGAAGCACTCATTTCGTTAGATGCCGAAAAGGCTTTTGATCGCGTGGAATGGCCTCATTTGTTTTATACAGTCAAGAAATTTGGTTTAGGAGACACCTTTTTATCTTGGATCAGACTACTTTACTCCAATCCACTAGCCTCGGTTAGAACTAACACTACTTATTCTGATTACTTCCGCCTTTATGTTCAACGAGACAAGGATGCCCACTCAGCCCTCTTCTATTTGCATTAGCCATTGAGCCTTTAGCAATTGCATTACGTTCTAACCCCAAAATCACAGGCATACGTAGATATGGTTTGGAGGCAAAGGTGTCCCTATATGCCGATGATTTACTCTTATACATATCAGACATAAATACGTCAATCCCCGCTGCTTTACGTCAACTCTCTAACTTTGGCCAGCTGTCAGGTTATAAACTTAATCTAAACAAAAGTGAGATTTTTCCTCTCAATTTAGCTTGTAATGTTTCTTCCCTGCGTCGCTTCCCCTTTAAAGTAACCTGTGACAGTTTTACGTATCTTGGAATTCAGGTACCTTACCAACCAGAGAACTTGTTTAAAATTAATTTTTCCCCTTTAATGCTGAAGGTAAAAGATGATTTTGAACGATGGTCGTTGCTCAAACTGTCTTTGGTAGCACGCATTAACTGTGTAAAAATGAATATCCTGCCTCGCTTTCTGTATTTGTTCCAGTGTATCCCCCTTTTTCTACCCAGCTCCTTTTTTAGTCAAATTGATACACTCATCTCAGAATTTCTTTGGGATAAGAAGATCTCGAGGTTGTCCAAAAATTATTTACAAAGACCTAAGTTGCTGGGAGGGATGTCTTTGCCTAATTTTAGGTATTATTACTGGGCCACAAACATTAGAACTCTTAAATATTGGCTTCAGTCTGGAACATCTTCTCCAGACTGGTTAATCATGGAGAGGAACTCTGCTAAACCAGTTTCTCTTGCAGCTTTACTTTATTCACCTATCCAATGTCCGACCATAAAATATGCTAAGAACAAGATCGTTAAAATATCTCTCAAAATTTGGACACAATTCAAACGCTATTTTGGCCTGCAACTTTACTCGCATAATGCTCCATTAGCAAATAATCACTTTTTTCCCCCTTCGCTTATCGATAAAGCATTTTTAGTTTGGTCCACACATGGTGTACAGTCATTTAAAGATCTTTTTATTGACAATGTTTTTGCTTCCTTCCAGCAGCTTTCGTCTAAATTCTCTATCCCAAAGCAACACTTTTTTAGATATTTGCAGATCCGCAGTTTTGTCCAAAGTAATTTCCCTACATTCCCAAACTTGCCCGAGGATTCTACTTTGGACTTTTTGCTTTTGCCTGCTGCTAATTTGAAAATATCAATTTCTCTTATATATAATGGGATATCGTTAATACGTTCCGATACTCTTGACTCAATCAAAGCCCTTTGGGAGGGAGATTTGGGGGAGAGCATATCTGATGAAGACTGGTCTCAAATATTAAAGCGGGTTCATAAATCCTCTATATGTGCAAGACATTGTCTTATACAATGTAAACTCCCTCACCGAGTTTATTACACAAAATCTCGGCTATCCAAAATATACCCTAATGTCTCCCCAATGTGTGACAGATGCCAACATTCTCCAGGGAATCTTATTCACACGTTTTGGCTCTGTCCACAACTGGTTACTTATTGGACCGACATTTTTGGCATTATTTCCAAAGTGATTGGCAGGACAATAGACCCAAACCCCTTGAGTGCTTTGTTTGGAATATATAATGGGCCATTTTCCCTCTCCACCTTACATGGCAACTCTCTTGCTTTTATGACCCTTCTGGCCAGAAGGGTAATTTTGCTAAAATGGAAATCTCCGCAACCTCCTTCTGTTACCCACTGGCTTAGGGACGTTTTATATTTTCTTAAGCTGGAAAAAATACGCATGACGATCCATGGCTTCTCTGACAGATTCATTCAGGCCTGGAATCCCTTGTTTAATTTGCTTAAGCAAATGAACTTTCCTTGTGTTCCGAATTAGCTTGTATTACTCTTTTTTTCTACATTACCTGTTTTGTTTTATTAAAGTGGGGGCGCCGCACATCTTTACATCCCCATTTTATACTTTGGACATGCTTTTAATTGGCTGGCTGGTTGGAGTGCTTTCTGTTTTGTTCTGTGTGTGATTTAAGGAGATTGTATCAGTGTTCATTTCTCCCTTGTACTGTATCTGACTTGTTTGGAAACTGTACAATTTCTGTAAAACTTCAAATAAACAAAGTTTGGAAAAAAAAAAAAAAAAATTTTTATATCTTTATGTTTGAAGCCTGAAATGTGGCGAAATGTTGAAAGGTTCAAGGGGGCCGAATACTTTCGCAAGGCACTGTAGATACGGACCTGCTCGTCACATCGTGCAAATAGGGCTTAAAATAGCGTTATGAAGAGACCTCCCCTCTCCCCCTTTTCTCTTTTTTAACCGACAGCTTTGACCAGTTAACGCTGTGACGGTTGACCGTCTGAGAGTGTGTATGTGTGTGTCTGCTTGTGTGTGTCTGCGTGCGTGTGCCATACCTTCATGCCTATCTCCATGTTGGACAGGTCGGCAAAGGGCACCTCTCGGGTCACCAGCTCCCACAGCAAAATGGCAAAGCTCCACATGTCTGCAGAGCGGCGGTTTATGTCCTCCGGCTTCTTCTGGAGCGCTACACCCACAACACACAGTCAGGAGTCAGACCAGGAGGAGGACCAGGAGACAACACACAGTCAGGAGTCAGACCAGGAGGAGGACCAGGAGACAACACACAGTCAGGAGTCAGACCAGGAGGAGGACCAGGAGACAACACACAGTCAGGAGTCAGACCAGGAGGAGGACCAGGAGACAACAAACAGTCAGGAGTCAGACCAGGAGGAGGACCAGGAGACAACAAACAGTCAGGAGTCAGACCAGGAGGAGGACCAGGAGACAACACACAGTCAGGAGTCAGACCAGGAGGAGGACCAGGAGACAACACACAGTCAGGAGTCAGACCAGGAGGAGGACCAGGAGACAACACACAGTCAGGAGTCAGCCCAGGAGGAGGACCAGGAGACAACACACAGTCAGGAGTCAGACCAGGAGGAGGACCAGGAGACAACACACACAGTCAGGAGTCAGCCCAGGAGGAGGACCAGGAGACAACACACAGTCAAGAGTCAGACCAGGAGGAGGACCAGGAGACAACACACAGTCAGGAGTCAGACCAGGAGGAGGACCAGGAGACAACACACAGTCAGGAGTCAGACCAGGAGGAGGACCAGGAGACAACACACAGTCAGGAGTCAGCCCAGGAGGAGGAGCAGGAGGAGGACCAGGAGGAGGCCACACTTCAGGCATGAGTCTAAAAACTGGAACTGTTTATATGAAACCAAAACCGGCAAAATACTTCTTACATTTTAGCCTAAAAATATAAAAAGTAATGTCAGGAGTAAAACTAAAAAATAAATTCATTATCAGTATTAATTTTGGTTCTTCTCTTGACACTGCCATCTGGTGGTGGACGTGGAGAAATACATCTACTACATCTATCTAGATCAGGGGTGTCATTCATACGGCCCGCGGGCCGGAACCGGCCCGCCAAGAGATTTGACACGGCCCGTGGCTCATTTATGTAAAAATATAATAAAGTTACATTTTAAAAAGCCGCTCCGCGCCGCGAGGCGCCGCGACGCTGCAGCGCCGCGCTCAGGGGTGAGTCCAGTGCGTCTGTAGTGACTCCACCAGAGCGGTGCTGAAGGAATAACATCTTAAACTACAAGACTCGGCGAAAAATACGGCACTTTGAGCGAAGAATTGAGAAAACAGAAGATAAACATGTCTGGCCCTGAAGACACAGCAGTCTGTTTGTGCCCAGAGCGAGAGGTTAGTTCTGCTGCTGTGAAGGGAAGCTACCTGTGCTAACAACATTAGCATTAGCATCGCAGCCGCACAGTGAGAGAGAGTTTGTTAAAACTCTCACAGGCTGCAGACATGGTCTGAGAAACCACTCGCTTTTACCATCATGTTGCCATTGATAAGAGACTGATGTTACTGATGTCACATATTCATTTGTGGTGTTACTGAAACTATCAGAGGAGTTTTGAGCGCTGCTGCTGGTGCTGCTGCTGGTTCTGCTGTTGTTGCTGGTGTGTTGGACAGTGTGGACTGGTACCGATGGTAAAAACAGGTGTAGTGACAAAGCTGCAAATGGAGGTGATGATTTTTGGACATTTGACTGTATTTTACACAGAGACACTGCTGCAGTCGTTAAGAATGAATCACGTTATGGAAGTAAAACTTGCTAAGAAGTACAGATGATGGGTGAGAAACCTTCCTTTGCTTTGGTTATGGAAGTTGTTTTATTCATTTCAACTGAATCATGGTCAGTTTGATGCTTTCTCTGTGATAATAACATAACCATGGACCTTACACACTGAAGATGGTTAATGTGATAATAACATAACCATGGACCTTACCACACTGAAGATGGTTAATGTGATAATAACATAACCATGGACCTTACCACACTGAAGATGGTTAAGCTGAGGTGCTGTGTTTAAGTGCTTTTTTCTATCTACCTACTTTACCTTTGTGAGCAGGTTTTCTCTGTAATGAGCCTTAAAACAAAGCTAACACACAAATATTAATATACATATTGTGAAATACCATTTTCAATGTAATATTGTAAATACGCTACATTATTTGCACTATGGAAAACTCACTGTTACATTTAAGTTTGTAACAGAAAACTGAGTATTAAAGGATAGTGTTTTAAAGGAAGTTTTAAATAAATGTGTTTATGTGCACAAAAAGTTGGACTTTGTACCGTTTTTGGATATTTTTGTAGAGCATCTCCTGGTCCGGCCCACTTGAGATCAGATTAGGTTGTATGTGGCCCCCGGACCAAAATGAGTTTGACACCCCTGATCTAGATCCAAATCCAGATGTGTGTGGGGGTCACTACTATTACTACTTTAGGGAACAATTAAGTAACCTGGACAAATATAAAAACAATAATGCGGAAGTGAACACATGTTGTGGTAGAGAGTGGGCCCTCACCTTCAGGGGCCACCCAGGCGGGGGAGTACATCCGGCCCGGACACTGGAAGGAGAACTTGACGTCTGCCATGCTGATCCGGGCCGTCATGTCCTCGTCAATCTGAGGGAGCACAGAGAAGGTCAGAGAGAGGGCCCCACACGGGGACCAGAGAGAGGGCCCAACACGGGGACCAGAGAGAGGGCCCCACACGGGGACCAGAGAGAGGGCCCAACACGGGGACCAGAGAGAGGGCCCCACACGGGGACCAGAGAGAGGGCCCCACACGGGGACCAGAGAGAGGGCCCAACACGGGGACCAGAGAGAGGGCCCCACACAGGGACCAGAGAGAGGGCCCCACACAGGGACCAGAGAGAGCCCCACACAGGGACCAGAGAGAGGGCCCCACACGGGGACCAGAGAGAGGGCCCAACACGGGGACCAGAGAGAGGGCCCCACACAGGGACCAGAGAGAGAGCCCCACACAGGGACCAGAGAGAGGGCCCCACACAGGGACCAGAGAGGCATGGACCAACACAGGGACCAGAAAGAGGGCCCCACACAGGGACCAGAGAGAGGGCCCCACACAGGGACCAGAGAGAGGGCCCCACACAGGGACCAGAGAGAGGGCCCAACACAGGGACCAGAGAGGGAGGGACCAACATGAGGGCGGCGTCTGACGAGGGCCCCGGAGTAACTGATGCCCATGTCATGTTTCTGCTTTATTTTAGAGTTTTCCGTTACACTACGTACCTCAATACACACGAGACATACTGTACCTAGAAGCAGAGCACTTTCAAGTCAATATATTGCCAAACGATTCCATTCACTTTTTTCTGCCTGACATGTTGCTGCAGTTCAGTGTTCATGGTTTTACACTGGTCCAGACCAGAGAGGATTCATGGTCCAAAACAACCCTTTCAGGCAGACCAGAGCAGATAAAATGGTCTGAACCAAGCGGCTGCTGCTGTGACCTAAAGTGCTGTTGTATTTTAATAATATTGTTATCTACTTTTAGAATGATCTATATATTTGTTTTGTTTGTATGGATGGATGGACACCTGACTTTATTCTACGGGGATCAATAAAGGATCTATATATCTAATGCTCAGACAATTGTTACCAAACATACTACAGTAATTTCTAGTTCTAGTTCAGTGATCCCTGCGGCTTATATAGCGATGCAGCTAATATGTTCATTTTTTATTGTGTTAGAGTTGGGCTGTTGTCAGAGCAGAGTGTATGGACTTATCATTTTGACATCAACTTTCCATCAAGTTTTAGTAGCAGCAGGACACTGGTTTACCGTCAGAATAGCTTCCATGACTCATTCACCAGTCTGACGGTTTAGCTGTTACCACCTAGTCCTTAAATTGTGCTGTCTATCTGCTCCATTAAACAGCAGCTGGCTTTTACCCAAGTGCGGCCCATATGTGGGTAAAATGTACTTTCTTTTAAAATGTTGGTGGTGCGGCTTGTATACAGGTGCGGCTTGTATACAGGAGCGTCTTATAGTCCAGAAAGTATAAGCACATTATAGGCGCATTTAGATTTAATTGGTTGGAGACCGGCCGCTGAAAAATCTTCTCAGTCTCAAGCGTCTGTTTACAATGTGTGGATTTCTTACAAAATATAAATATATGAAATAAACTCAAACTGATGTCTTGACGTTTTAATTTAAGAATACATTTTTTAATAATAAAACTAAATTGTGTTAATTTTAAAATAATATCTATTTATTTAATTACACTTCTAGTTTTCAGTGTCCATGGAGATGTTATGTCAAGAATATTGAATTGGTTTCCTGGTGGTGGATCCATCTCTTCTCTCTCGAGTGTCGTCATAAATGTGAGAATATAAAGAAACACAGATCTCACCATGACGCTCTTGCTGTTGAGGCAGTGTCGGGGGATCATGGGCTCCAGCGTGTGCAAGAACGCCATTCCACACGCGATGTCCAGAGCAAACTTTACTGCTTGTGTCTGGTCGACCACGAAGTCTGAAAGAGAGACAGGTGTAAGAGCAGGGGGCAGACACCAGGGGGCGCAGGGCGTGGGGGCAGACTCACTGGTGCCCTCGTGCAGCACGTTGAACAGGGAGCCGTAGGGCATCCAGTGGGTGATGATGATGGGGTGAGGGGCCGGGGGGGACTGGCACGCTCCCAGCATGGGCAGCACGTTCGGGTGGGAGAATATCCTGGAGACACAGACACAGATGAGTCATTGACCTGTAACTGCAAAAATCCACCGTTCTGGACGACGGACTCAGCGCCGGGACTCAGCGCCGGGACTCAGCGCCGGACTCAGCGCCCGACTCAGCGCCGGGACTCAGCGCCGATCAGCGCGGGACTCAGCGCCGGGACTCAGCGCGCCAGACTCAGCGCCGGACTCAGCGCCGGACTCAGCGCCGGACCGCCCGGGACTCAGCGCCCGGCTCAGCGCCGGGACTCAGCGCCCAGACTCAGCGCCCAGACTCAGCGCCCAGACTCAGCGCCCAGACTCAGCGCCCAGACTCGCGCCCAGACTCAGCGCCCAGACTCAGCGCCCAGACTCAGCGCCTCAGACTCAGCGCCCAGACTCAGCGCCCAGACTCAGCGCCCGACTCAGCGCCGGACTCAGCGCCCGACTCAGCGCCCGGACTCAGCGCCGGACTCAGCGCCCAGACTCAGCGCCCAGACTCAGCGCCCAGACTCAGCGCCCAGACTCAGCGCCCAGACTCAGCGCCCAGACTCAGCGCCCAGACTCAGCGCCCAGACTCAGCGCCCAGACTCAGCGCCCAGACTCAGCGCCCAGACTCAGCGCCCAGACTCAGCGCCCAGACTCAGCGCCCAGACTCAGCGCCCAGACTCAGCGCCCAGACTCAGCGCCCAGACTCAGCGCCCAGACTCAGCGCCCAGACTCAGCGCCCAGACTCAGCGCCCAGACTCAGCGCCCAGACTCAGCGCCCAGACTCAGCGCCCAGACTCAGCGCCCAGACTCAGCGCCCAGACTCAGCGCCCAGACTCAGCGCCCAGACTCAGCGCCCAGACTCAGCGCCCAGACTCAGCGCCCAGACTCAGCGCCCAGCAGACTCAGCGCCCAGACTCAGCGCCCAGACTCAGCGCCCAGACTCAGCGCCCAGACTCAGCGCCCAGACTCAGCGCCCAGACTCAGCGCCCAGACTCAGCGCCCAGACTCAGCGCCCAGACTCAGCGCCCAGACTCAGCGCCCAGACTCAGCGCCCAGACTCAGCGCCCAGACTCAGCGCCCAGACTCAGCGCCCAGACTCAGCGCCCAGACTCAGCGCCCAGACTCAGCGCCAGACTCAGCGCCCAGACTCAGCGCCCAGACTCAGCGCCCAGACTCAGCGCCCAGACTCAGCGCCCAGACTCAGCGCCCAGACTCAGCGCCCAGACTCAGCGCCCAGACTCAGCGCCCAGACTCAGCGCCCAGACTCAGCGCCCAGACTCAGCGCCCAGACTCAGCGCCCAGACTCAGCGCCCAGACTCAGCGCCCAGACTCAGCGCCCAGACTCAGCGCCCAGACTCAGCGCCCAGACTCAGACTCAGCGCCAGACTCAGCGCCCAGACTCAGCGCCCAGACTCAGCGCCACTCAGCGCCCAGACTCAGCGCCCAGACTCAGGCGCCCAGACTCAGCGCCCAGACTCAGCGCCCAGACTCAGCGCCCAGACTCAGCGCCCAGACTCAGCGCCCAGACTCAGCGCCCAGACTCAGCGCCCAGACTCAGCGCCCAGACTCAGCGCCCAGACTCAGCGCCCAGACTCAGCGCCCAGACTCAGCGCCCAGACTCAGCGCCCAGACTCAGCGCCCAGACTCAGCGCCCAGACTCAGCGCCCAGACTCAGTCCCTGGGCCTGAACAATGTTGAAAATGTGTGGTTTGATTGTGGGCTGTCGAAGCTCGGAACCCATCGAACCTGACTGAACTAGAGACGATCTGCAAAGAAGAATGGTCCAAAATACCACCAGAATCCAGACTCTGATTGTAAGTTATAGGAAGTGTTTAGAGGCTGCTATTTCTGTAAAAGGAGGATGTACAAAATATTGAGTTGTCTTTTCTTTCATGATGCCTAAACGTATGCACAGGCCTAATTTGGTGTACATAATTCTGGGACAATTTCTGTAAATGAAATGACTTTTATTCACATCTCAAATATCACCGTATTTGTCTCCTTTATGAAATATTGAACTGACATTTCTGATCCAAACAAACGATCCTTAAAAAGGAAAATCATCATTTGTTTTTACTTTTGCAAACCACTTTAAGTCTCTGACCCAGAAGTCTTTGGATCAAGAGTTTTTGATGAGGTTTTCTTTCCCCCATAACAATTTAGGCTTTTAAATAACCCTAAAAAGCCACTAATTATTTCTACATTCACATCTTCCAGAGGAGAGACAGGAGAAATCCCAAAAGATAAAGCTCTGGGATGAACTGCGGCTCCAGCGTCTGAGTGTTTAGATGTTTATGATTTGTGCCACACGTCCCTGATATTGTGTGGATGGAGCTCAGACAAATACAGTCGGTTCTGGATGAGAAACACTGATACAAAATAATATTGTTGCAACAGTCTCAGATTCTGTACAAAAGGCTGAGACAGAAACACAATCAAAGAAACAGAATCACCTGAGTTTGGGATACTCCTCGTTGAAATCTCTGCTCTTCCGTGTGCTCCAGTCTCGGACTTTCAGAACTTTCACTACGATTTCGTTCCCCTGCCAGCGACCCTGCCACAGCTGGGAGAGAGACGGGACAATTCAGGATATGGTCTCAAAATACTCTCAAAAGTTCCTCCTGGTGAAGAAAAAACCTGCAAAAAGTGCTTCACTAAACCACGAAAATCAGAGGTAAGTTTCTGGTTTTGTTCGGTCAGATGCAGTGACAGTTTGTCCAGTTAATTATAAATCCTTATTTGTTTAGCACTTTTCAAAAGCAGTGTCCGAACCCTCAGCATGAAGCAATAAAATGTCAATAAGAACAGTCATAATAAAATAAAACATCAAAAAGGAATTACAGGAGAAAAAAGCAACAAGAGAAACAATGGTGCTGCCTCATCTCCAGAGTCGAGGAGCCCAGATTGAGAAGGCTCCATCCCCCTTCGTCTGGAGCCTCGACCTCGGACCCACAGGGACCGGTCTGAGGCTCTAAGGCCGCAGAGGGTGGGGCTCGTATGGGGTTAGCGCCCAGACTCAGCGCCCAGACTCAGCGCCCAGACTCAGCGCCCAGACTCAGCGCCCAGACTCAGCGCCCAGACTCAGCGCCCAGACTCAGCGCCCAGACCAGCGCCCAGACTCAGCGCCCAGACTCAGCGCCCAGACTCAGCGCCCAGACTCAGCGCCCAGACTCAGCGCCCAGACTCAGCGCCCAGACTCAGCGCCCAGACTCAGCGCCCAGACTCAGCGCCCAGACTCAGCGCCCAGACTCAGCGCCCAGACTCAGCGCCCAGACTCAGCGCCCAGACTCAGCGCCCAGACTCAGCGCCCAGACTCAGCGCCCAGACTCAGCGCCCAGACTCAGCGCCCAGACTCAGCGCCCAGACTCAGCGCCCAGACTCAGCGCCCAGACTCAGCGCCCAGACTCAGCGCCCAGACTCAGCGCCCAGACTCAGCGCCCAGACTCAGCGCCCAGACTCAGCGCCCAGACCAGCGCCCAGACCCAGCGCCCAGACCCAGCGCCCAGACCCAGCGCCCAGACCCAGCGCCCAGACCCAGCGCCCAGACCCAGCGCCCAGACTCAGCGCCCAGACTCAGCGCCCAGACTCAGCGCCCAGACTCAGCGCCCAGACTCAGCGCCCAGACTCAGCGCCCAGACTCAGCGCCCAGACTCAGCGCCCAGACTCAGCGCCCAGACTCAGCGCCCAGACTCAGCGCCCAGACTCAGCGCCCAGACTCAGCGCCCCAGACTCAGCGCCCAGACCCAAGCGCCCAGACCCAGCGCCCAGACCCAGCGCCCAGACTCAGCGCTGGGGTTAAAAGTTCAGAAATGTAGCTTGGTGTTAGATCTGAACGTGGAGGGTTAACACAGGAGAGAAGGCCGTTAGAAGTGAGGTGCTACGGCTTTGATTAAGTCTTTGGTGAGGTTTTCTTTTGCCCATAACAATTTAGGGTTCCTCAGGTGAGACTGATCACATAGGGACCACCATAGAAACCAGTCCGAGTCCAGGATCAGAGCCAAGAGGTCGATTCCACTGTGGCCTGAGATCTGGACGGTAAAGGTGGGCGGCACGGTGGCTGAGTGGATAGCACTCTCGCCTCTCAGCAAGAAGGTCCTGGGTTCGAATCCCGGCCGGACCAGGGCCTTTCTGACTGGAGTTTGCATGTTCTCCCTGTGTCTGCGTAGGTTTCCTCCGGGTACTCCGGTTTTCCCTACCACTAAAAACATGCACAATAGTTCTGGCGACCCCGCTCCCATCTCTGTGTGGAGTGAGTGGACCAATGCCCAAAATTAATAACAATTGTAAACCGCTTTGTGACTCTGGTCTGTGAAAGGCGGTATATAAATAAAGATTACTTACTACTACTTACTTACTAAAGTCTTTTAAAAACACAACAAAAACGATCGGTAGAATCTTAAATCGATTGGAAAAGGCCCCGGGAGCCAGAGGAGGGATTCTAACACAGGAGTAATGTGCTCCCTTCTGTTCAAACCAGTGGTAAGTCTGCATTTTGTCTTTCAAAATGTTGAAAAAAGAATGAAAATGCATTTGGAATGTTGCAGACAGACAGCTTTCAACATAATCACGACTATGTTTAAATTTTTTTTTCAATCATTTAAAGGTGCAGTAAGCGATTTTGTTAGCTTAGCCGAAGCAGCAACTCGAAACCACTCCCCCCCTCCCCTCCCTCTAAACCAAACCAAACATCCAGCATTTTCTTTTGGCAAACGAGAAACAGACCATGTACTTTTACATTTCCGTTTTACATGAACAGGTGGAAATATGGCCTACCTCTCCAGACTGGTTTTCGTTTATTTTGGCTAGAAGTGAGAGCTGTTTGTAGTCCACACCTGCTTGTTTGTTTAGCGTGCCATTTCCTGGAAAACAACAGAAACAACAAATGGCGTCAAAAGGAAGTGTTGCTGTCAGACTGTACAACGAACAATGAGAACACTGCCGACCTGACCTCACGTGAAATAATGTCAAAATGTGCAATATAGAACCACACTTTGTCTTTAACCCTCAGGCTGCAACATGTACAGATGTAAACACACAACTACACATTTCTTACACTAGAAGATACAGAATTTTATACTAGCTTCTTTGTCATGCTAAAGCTAGAGATTGAATACTAGCTTCTTTGTTATGCTAAAGCTAGAGATTTTAAACTAGCTACTGTATTAGGCTAAAGCTAGAGATTTTATACTAGCTTCTTTGTTATGCTAAAGCTAGAGATTTTATACTAGCTTCTTTGTTTTGCTAAAGCTAGAGATTTTATACTAGCTTCTTTATTATGCTAAACCTAGAGATTTTATACTAGCTTCTTTATTATGCTAAAGCTATAGATTGTATTGAGAATGAGGAGTCACGTGCCGAGTTGGGGTGATTTGGGGGGGGCTCTGAGCCTGTCGGACATATTGGCTGCGCAACGGGGGCACGCCCCCAGAATTTCACGCGCTCCTCATATTCCAGAGCACTTTAAATTATACGCATTTACGTTTTCGGCGAGACAGAGACGGATCTACTGATACAACAAGGGAAAGGAAGACAGTAAAACAATGCTTAGAGATAAGGCGAAAGAGAAGGGACCGTACAGGAACAAGCTCATACCAAGCGCAAAACAGAGGTATTTGGAGAAGCTTGCGGACATCAAAAACATCGACCCATACGAGCTCCCTGCAGCGGAATGGCACAGAAACCTGGACCATTTACCTCCGTGCACATACATGGACATAGTAAACTACCTTGTATTTGGTGTAAGTTACTACACGATGCAGGAGTTTAAAAGCCACAAGTCTTTGGAAAGCAGGCATACAGTGTCCAAACTGCCCCCCTGCACACCAATCACCAAGTGCTAACCTGTGGCTTTTTTGTCAACCCGGCCTTCCCACAGGTAGGAGCCTCACCAGATGCCATCGTGAGCTGCATCTGTTGTGGGAAAGGCTGCTTGGAGGTAAAATGCCCAGCTAAATACAAGAACTGCACTATCCTCCAAGCCTGCTCCTCGGATGACCGCAACTTCTGCTTGCATGTTGTTGATGGTCAGGTGCACCTTAAAAAGAGTCACCCGTATTACACCCAAGTCCAGACACAACTGTTTGTGACAGAGAGGTCCTACTGCGACTTTGTTGTGTGGACCTTGATGGACACAGTGACTCTGCGCATAGCTCCAGACCGTGCTTTTTGGAAGGCACGACTCCAGAAGGCACAGGACTTCTTTGTGATGGTGGCTCTCCCTGAACTTGCGGTGCAATACTACACTATCCCCACCTGTCAACCATCACCTGGTCACAGTGTGCTACGTGAACTACAGCAGCCACAGCCACAACAAGTAGGTGGGAAGAGGCCGCGAAGGCAGCCAGCCAAAAAAGCCAAGGAAGTGTGGTGTCTCTGTTCTGGACCAGAGGAGGGTGACATGGTGGCCTGTGACAACCAGAACTGCCCAGTCCAGTGGTTTCACTTCAATTGTGTGGGGCTTGTTAATAAACCCTCTGGTGACACGCCATGGTTTTGCCCTTGTTGTGCAGAATAGGTTTTTCCTATTTCTTAAAATTGTATTATTGTTATTGCTGTGTGCCTTTGCAGTGTTTTTTTGTACATTTGCACTAATAAGTCTTATTTGTTATTATTATTTATGTTATAATTTATTTTATTATGTTGTGCATGTTTACATGCTGGAAACAGTACTTTGAATGCACACGTTGTTTTGCAGTGTTTTGTGTCCCTTTGCACTAAGAAAAGTATGACTCTTATGATCATTTTTGCCTATGCTGTGCATGTTTACATGCTGGAAACAGTACTTTGAATGCACACGTTGTTTAGCAGTGTTTTGTGTCCCTTTGCACTAAGAAAAGTATGACTCTTATTATCATTTTTACCTATGTTGGGCATGTTTACATGCTGGAAACAGTACTTTGACTGCACACGTTTGTAACAAAAAAAATATTCATTTCTCAATAAATATTGGTAAACCATATCAAGTTGTTTCATGCATTTATTTAAAAATAAAAGATACAGTAAAGAATAAGGTACTCAAACAACACTTTTGCACATGTTCGTTAAGGCACAGCAAACAATGACAATCTTATCCAAAGGCATTAGGTTTTCACCCTCACATTTGAGAAGCATATTCACAGGTACAGTTGAGTGTAAGAATTTGAATTTGTTGCGCACAACACCGATCACCCTCTCAACGTGAATTCTGAGATGTGCAATGGCCCTAGTCTCCTCCACATCTTTCGCCTCAAGCTGAGCACGACCCCTGGTGAATGTAGGTATTTTCACTTCAGCACACATCATGCCTACACTTTCTCTTATATTAAAGCCTCTATCTGCCAGCACAATGTCACCTGGTAACAGCTTGTTCAGGAAACCACTTTGCTCGGTTATATGCTTGTCGCTTGTGCGCCCACCCCACCCATTCGATATGAAGGAAATTACACCCTGGGGCGTGATCACGATTAGGTATTTCATGGTGTATGCGTGTTTGTATTGAGAGAAAGTCTGTGCCCTTGCTAGTACATTGGAAGGTTTCTCGATGAACACCTCGAAGCAGTCCGCAATGGCAGCCACATTGTTCCCAAATGACTCCACAAACTGATGTGGCATACTGGTCAATATGCATTCCCTGCTTGGCCAGTGCACTAATGGACACAGCTGTGCGTACATCACACCAAGGGTATGGTGAAAGGCATCGGCGACTGTTGTCCGATGTACTCTAAACAGATGGCTGAGGTGCTGGATTGGAAGGTCCAGTCTGAGGCGCATTAAAGTCAATAGGACAAGCTGGAAGGGTGAGAGCTTCTTCATTCTACCTTGAGGCAGATCTGGAGTTAGGTAGAGTAGAAGTGTCTGGAACAATGCAAAGTTTGGAAGCCCCGTGTAATACTTCACTGTGTTATCATCACCACTCAGAAAGTTCTCATTCATCCGGTACGTATCAAGCTCACGCTTCAGCTGTCTGTTTTCTTCAAGAAGATTGTTGATAACATCTCGTCTAGATGTGCAGAGTCCACATTCCATGTCCGGGTCAGCTGGCGGCTGGTCTAGGGCTGGCGGCGGCGGCGCCTGCGGCTGGTCTAGGGCTGGCGGCGGCGGCGCCTGCGGCTGGTCTAGGGCTGGTGGCGGCGGCGCCTGCGGCTGGTCTAGGGCTGGTGGCGGCGGCGCCTGCGGCTGGTCTAGGGCTGGTGGCGGCTGCAGCTGGTCTAGGGCTGGTGGCGGCTGCAGCTGGTCTAGGGCTGGAGGCGGCGGCGCCTGCGGCTGGTGTTGGGCTGGAGGTGGCTGCCGCTCCAGTGGCAGGGACCTGCGCCTTACTTGCCGCTGATATCTCGCTTCATCTGTTTTTTGTACATCATTGTGGCCTAACAACAGGGATGGTGTCCAGTCAGGGTGGTTCTCCAACATCTCATATGCTGGTTTACCTACACGAGAATAATAACAACATATAATTAATATAATAATTTGCACAATCTATGTAATCTATGCTTTACACTGGCAAAGACCTCGCAGAACACGTGCTAAGTAAGAAACAGCCTGAGAGGGTAACAAAGACACAGAGACAAAGGCACTACAGAAACCATAATAACATATGCTAACCTACACTTCCTAGCTTTAAGAGACAACTACATAAATACATTTTTAGAGAACGTACCAGAGTGAAAATGCAGAGAACACACTCTCGTCGACAGGGGTGTGTGATCGAAAGTAAGGTCCTTTCTTCTAATTGCAGCCAACCAAGCAATCCGACGTCTCCTTGTCAGGTCAGAGAATTGCTCCCCTTGATGCTTTTTCCATTTCGGTAACCTAAAAAACTGTATCCCGTTGTTACTAGGTTTTCCATATCCATCGTGGGAGGTATTGGAGCAGTTTTTAACGCAGCAGTTATTTCCAGGCATGATAAAACAGTGCGGAATAGCAAGAACCTCCGCTACTACCGCGTTCACAACACACGTAAACAAACTGTACTGCCGCCACCGGTGCGCAGCCAATATGTCGGCAAAGGGGGGATGGGGAGGGGGGACTCTGTGCCGTGACGTCAACTCCTCATTCTCAATACTAACTTCTTTAATATGCTAAAGCTAGAGATTGTATACTAACTTCTTTGTTATGCTAAAACTAGAGATTTTATACTAGCTTCTTTATCAAGCTAAACCTAGATATTTTATACTAACTTCTTTAATATGCTAAAGATATAGATTGTATACTTGCTTATATTTTATGCTAAAGCTAGAGATTTTATACTAGCTTCTTTAATATGCTAAAGCTAGAGATTTTATACTAGCTTCTTTATTATGCTAAAGCTATAGATTTTACATTATTTTAGCATTGCGTTATTGTTTATTTATCCTGTGCTGTGTGCTCTGTAACTGGTGATGCAACACTGACATTTCCTCGCTATGGGATGAATAAAGTATGTCCTAACGACTGGAGGTGACTCACGCGGTCGGGTCCTGGTCGTGCCCTTCCAGAAGGTGTCTTTAAAGGGGATCTTGGCCATGCTCTGGCCCAGCTTCTCGGCCTTGTCTGGAGGAGAGGAAAACAAACAGTTGATGATAAAATCCAATTCCTAAAATCACACCACGCGGGAATTTTGTCAATAACAAGAAACAATTAAAGATACGAGTCGCTTCAATTAGTGGGACAATGGCCAATACTCAGCAAAAAGTTACAAGAAAAGCAAATATCAATAAATGTTGATAAAAACCATAAATGTTATTGAATGTGGAGTGTCCTGGATCATCACTACTGTAATAATTAAAGTAGCAACATGTAAGATTTTCATGTCAATCTGTCATCATTAAAGGGCCCTAATCTGTCATCATTAAAGGGCCCTAATCTGTCATCATTAAAGGGCCCTAATCTGTCATCATTAAAGGGCCCTAATCTGTCATCATTAAAGGGCCCTAATCTGTCATCATTAAAGGGCCCTTATCTGTCATCATTAAAGGGCCCTAATCTGTCATCATTAAAGGGCCCTAATCTGTCATCATTAAAGGACCCTTATCTGTCATCATTAAAGGGTCCTAATCTGTCATCATTAAAGGGCCCTAATCTGTCATAAGTAAAGGGTCCTAATCTGTCATCATTAAAGGGTCCTAATCTGTCATCATTAAAGAGCCCTAATCTGTCATCATTAAAGGGCCCTAATCTGTCATCATTAAAGGGCCCTAATCTGTCATAAGTAAAGAGCCCTAATCTGTCATTAAAGGGCCCTAATCTGTCATCACTAAAGGGCCCTAACCTATCATCATTAAAGGGCCCTAATCTGTCATCATTAAAGGGCCCTAATCTGTCACAAGTAAAGGGTCCTAACCTATCATCATTAAAGGGCCCTAATCTGTCATCATTAAAGGGCCCTAATCTGTCAAAAGGTATTTATAAAACATGTTCTTTTCAAATACTTTAACTGATAACAGTAGTTCAGAGATATTTGAATTTCTAAATTACTTTTCCAGCCTCTAAATCTTGTTATTGTTTTCATTTCGATGTCCCGCCCTCCACCGTTTCACCAATCAGAAAGTCCGTGAGCCGAGCGCCAGAACTCACCGCGTGGAGCTAATCTCACTGGTAAAGTACCATGTGGCCGGAACAGCCTCCTTCCAGAACTGAGGAACCCAACAGGACTTTCACTCGTCACATGGACCTGGAGACTTACCCGTTTGAACAGGCTTTTGGCGTTCTCCAAAGAATTGTTTTGCATTTGTTGAGTCCATTTCTATCTGCTTTCAGTCAGTCGTATTGTGGCCAGTTAAAACGACACCTAGACTACCCCCAAGACTGATTTGAATGATGAATAATAGTATCGTATTTTTCAGACTATAAGCATTTTTCCTGCATTTTGAAGGCTGCAGTTTATAGTGAGGTGCTGTTTAATTCTATTTTTTTTTCCTGTGTAGACAAACAGAATTGATGAGTTTTTCACAGAGGTCCAATTAAATGTAAGATTTGTCAAAAAAGCAGATTAAAGTAAGTTTAAAAGTCCACATTTATAATATCTTTGTGTAAATATTTCATATATTAAATTGTTTCTTGGGCAGTTAGTGTCCAACTAGAAGGACTGTGGTGATCCAGGACACTAACATTCTACAACATGTATGACATTTATCACATTCATGGACATTGGTCTCTTCCTATTGAAACCAACTCATATGTGTTTATTATGTGTCTTAACGGTTGATTCTCTGATCTGTGTTGGTGACTTTAAGTGTTTTGTTAAGTCTCTGAGATGACTTCTGTCGTGATTTAGGGCTATACAAGAAGTTGTTGTTGTTGTTTTTTGGTTCTTTGTACAGACATGAAAGAGAAAAGAGACCAGTAGATGTTGCTCCTGATCTTTCTGCTTCACACTGAAGATTCAGAACAGTCTGGGACTCACTTCTTACTCACAGTAAAAAGAACACACGATAAACATTTTTGAGAAACATTTTTCAATAATACAAGGTGGGATATGTGCGGTTAATAATCCAGTGCGGCTTGTTCAAGTAAAAATCAATTTCTTTCTAAAGAATTGAGCCTAAAAATAAGACACAATAAACGTTTTTGAGGAAAAAATGTCAATATTACAATGTGGGATATGTGTGGCCTATAATCAGGTGCGGCTTATAGTCCGGAACACAGGGTAGAAGCTGGTCCTTTTACATGACTGTGGCGACAGTGAGGTGTGAAGCAGGAGGAGGAGAGGGCGCCCACCTCGGAGGAGCTCGCGCAGGTGCGGCTTGGCCTTGTCCAGTGGAATCTCCCCGTATTTGTTGCAGATGCTCACCAGCGCTCCGTTAGTCACAAGGTCCTGCCAAAACAACACATTCATCTGCTTCAAAGATTTCCCAAGTCCAATCATGCAGCAGAGAAGAATAGTGAGAGAGAAGTTAGAAAGACAGAACAAACAGGAAGTTGAATGATGACATCACACAAGAGGGAGAAAATGTATATTGTGGTAATTTTAAGAAATGCTAGATGTTTTCCTTGTATAACTTGTTTGCACTGAGAGCCAAAGCAGTGTGTGACTTCCTGTTACTCACAACAACGATAAAAATAATTGTGTTTTTATTTTTTCATATTGATTTGTCAAATGTTTGCGTCAGGAGTGTGGGCCCATTGGTGTTTTACAACCAAGTAAAAGCCACCAGAATCTGCAATAGATTCTTGACTGTAGTTTAGTAAATTGAGCAGCTGAGTCATTGACAGTAAGAGATTATTAAGCAGTGAATGAATTGTATTATTATGGTTTCAAAATATAAAGTTTAAATTTGACGTTGTTTGTGGCCCTCACCTCGCAGACCGGCTCCTGGCCCCAGAAGCAGGCGTAGTGCAGCGGCGTGTTCCCGTGTTCGTTTGCAGAGTTAGTGTCTGCTTTACACTGGATCAGCTGGAACACACACACACACACACACACACAAACACACACATTTTTAACATTCTATTTAAAATCCACTCCAATTGAAGTTAAATGAGATTATCAAATGTAATGACACATTGTCATTCAGACCAAATGTGCTTTAATCTGTTTGATTTGCTCACAACCTTTTGCGTTTGGGCACAACCAAAATGAGCTGTTAATGAAAGGGGGAAATTTACGTACCCCAGCTTTAATTTAGCAAGTTTAGTTTAGTTTCAGGAGGAGACATGGCCACTTCCGCGGTGTATTTGCGCGCACAGGTTACGCACAGGTTTTAAAGACAAGCAGACAACATGCAGAGAACAGTCCTGTGTGTGTTTGGTCTAACCGCGGCGCCATTCGCTCACAGCCACTAACAACAACCAGAGCGGCCGCAGCTGCCCCCGGGGTGTGCCCCGGGAGGCGGGCTTCAGTTATCAGCAAACAACAGCCCCGCGGTCACGCGCGTATTCTTTTAAAACTTGAATTCCCAGAGACCTGCTCTGTTGCCATCTCACAAACGCATGAGTCCGCGGCATTCTGAGTGATATTATGGATAAATGGGCGGGTCATTCGGACATGCGTTAATGCGTTATTTTTTTTTTTTGCGATAACTTTGACAGCCCTACTTTTAACACCAGGTAGCAATAAACAAGTTTTTGGTTTTTATGGACATATGTATATTTGTATCGTTACTGTAGGTGTTTTTATTGTCTTTCACTTGTCTGTACAGCACTTTGGTGAGACTAGGCTGTTTTAAAAGTGCTCTAGAAATAAAGATTGATTGATTGAGAGTTGAGATTCTGGTCCGGTCAAAGCAGTTAAGTTCCCGTTTCCCGCTCTGGGAAAAGTACATGTTTGCTGCAGCTTTGAAGATGAGCTAATGGCTAAACTATAGCTAATAGATACCGTAGATAAACAATGAATTTCCACTGTTTTACAAAGATAAAACTGCCAATCTAATGAATCAGAACAAAAGACATTGCAACTGTAGCCTGAATTATTGTAAAAATGCTTTACTTTTGAATGCAAAATTAACTTTTTTCCCCTAAATGCTAATTAAGACTTCAGAATTTCACTCTGAACCAGAGCAGAGAAAACGGTCCAAACCGAGCAGACTGAGTACATAAACCAGAGGAGCTCATTTCCAGCGGCTGCACCACCTTTATTACTATTGTTAGAAACTTTTAGAATCATCTATTTATGTGTTTGTTTGGATGGATGTGTTTCTGCTGCTGGACTCCTGCATTTCTCCAACAGGGATCAATAAACGATCTATGTATCTATAACTGATAATAATAGATGCTCTGGACTATCATTGTGAAGATGAAATTAGTGGTTTGGGTTTGACAGAGCGCTCCGTAAATGCAGAATGTAATCGAGGCAATAGCCGTCCGTTGTGTTGAGTATTTTTAGCACGAAAACCTGGAACTGTTCTCATCGGATCAATAACAGAACACACAGAGCCACTCCGTCGTGTTTCCAAAGCCTTTTATGGAGCTTTCCATCCCCCTGAGTGGATCCAGGACAAAAACAACTTATCTAATCAACAAAAGCAGATGGTCATGAGTCACAGTTCTCAGATTCTATACATATATTTATAAAAAACAGTGACTTTGTGATTATTTTGATCCCACAGACTGAGCCCCAGATCGAGGGACATTATCAGGGTCTTGTATGTCTTTCATTTACCAAAAATTGCTCCCACAGTTGATTTCTTCACACCTTACTGCTTAACTATGGCACATTCGGTCTTCCCAGCCTGGTGCAGGTCTACAGCTCTGTTTCTGGAGTCCCTTTGACAGCTCTTTTGTCGTGGCCATAGAGGAGATTGGAATATGACTGTTTGAGGTTGTGGACATATCATAGAAACTTATTATTGTGACTCCTGTTAGCATAAATATCATTAATATGGAATACATTTGTTATTTTGATGTGTAGCAGCTAATTATATTAAGTTTAAAATGTGTAGTAAAGAGTTGGTGTTTATAAACTTTAGCTTCTGCCTTTTCCTTTTTCAGACCTTACTTTGAATCTCGGCGGCGAGTGCTTAAAATTGTTAGAATCGTCTGAAATAAATAAATTGAAGTTCAAAATGATGTCAATACAGGAACGAGTGGAGGACAGAGGAGGCTGCTAAAGAAGAAGGTCCAGGTCTGTGAGAGCCAGACCTGACCTCACATGTGGGGCATCTGTGCAAAAGTCATTTGACCCTCATGCTGCAACAGATGTAAACATATTTTTTACCCTCGAATATACAGCATTTCTTACTTCTTATTTATGATGAAGTCAAATTTTTCACTTGCTTCTTGTTTCTTTGTTATACAGAAGATTAGAGATTTAGAGATAGAGATTTTATTCTATTTTAGTGTAGAGGTACTGTTCACGTCTCTTTCCTACTAAACTAACTAACTAACTAAGCAAAGCACTAGGCCTTGACAGAGCAGTGACGTGGATGAATCTTACTTTTCAAACTCAGGCCTGATTCGCACCAAACCGTCTGATTGTCTCCACACAATAATAATGTGTTCACCGTCTGAGTGGAGCCGCGTACCTTGGTGACGATGTCGCGGTGGCCGTGGCTGGCCGCCAGGTGCAGCGGAGTGTCGTCTCCTCTGTTCATGACGTTGATGCGGGCTCCTCTCATGATGAGCATGTCCACCACGCTGGAGCGGCCCTCTCTGCACGCCCAGTGTAAGGGGCTGAAGCCGTGGTCATCCCTGGACACACACAAACCGTCATCACAGGCTGGACTTTCAACACTATCTTTTGTTCCAATATCTGTAAAACATCTGCAAAGGAGTCGTCATATTTTTTTTTACATTTCCAGTATTATTGATAACACATCACTACTGATATAATTATTGAGTTATAAGAATCATTGCAGGGCCCAGAGCAGGGGTTAGCAGTCACCATTTGCCACTTTCTCATTACATGGAGACAGCACAAAGCTTGTACCTAAAAAAATCCACCCTTCCACATGACTCCAGTGCATTAAGATCTCACACTGGAGAAATGTACATGTCCCATTTGGCACAGATAGAATCATTTGTTGAGAATATTTGTTGATAGATATGAAAAAATCTATAACCGAGCAGTTGGCGTGAATACATTTCTGTTCATGGAGAGTATAAATGAGCAAAGGAAAAGCAGAAGAAACTCGTGAGGCTGAAGCACAGAGGGAAGCAGCAGCTCATATCCGGTGTTGGTCCAGTTACTCAGGAAAAGTAATCAGATGAACAATTGTACGTGTTGCCTTTCCAGCGGGTACTACAGTTTTACAGTAATTATACGTTATTTTCAAACGTGTGAGGGTCGAGCAGCTGCATCCATGGCCCTGTGTGTCACATTTGATTGGACAAATAAGTGAACAAAGACCTGACCTTACCCTAGACCAGGTGTCTCCAACCTTTTTCACCCAGAGAGCTACTTTCCCGGGACGATAAAGGCAGAGAGCTACTCCTTTAAGTGGCCCTTGAGAATTTTTTGTGTGATTATATTGGAGTGAACAAGGCTGATATCAGGTATAGTCATTATTTATCATCACATATTTGTTACTGGTGACAAAGTAAGTGCATAATAAATAATTATAATGAATAAATCAATTTGAAATATTCAGTATATTATTTGATTTGTTCATTTCTAAATCCTTTGGCGAGCTATTGGTGGCTCCCAAGCTACAGGTTGGAGACCCCTGCCCTAGATAGATGCTTTTATTTGAAATGCAGAGGAGTAAGTTTGTTTATTTAATCGTACTTTTGACATAAATAAAGGCATTCCAAAAAGACAAGGTTAAACTCATTGACCGCCATTAACACGTCAAACCAAATAGTAACGTTGTCTGCCATTGACGTGTTAACACGTAAATTGGGTGTCCTGCTATTTTTACGTACCCAGATGTCTATTGTATCTAATGTGTATGGGGATGGCTTGAGACCATATTTTATCGAGCCAGCAGGTGGCAGCATTTCTCTCTGAATGGTTTGAAAACAGCCAGATGCACATGTGGTGCCTCTTTTTTCTCAGCTTTCTGGCAATTTCAGTAAAACTTCCTTCTACTCAACTGGGGATTACAGGGGAACGAAACAAGCTAGAAACAAAATTCTTTTTGCTAATGAAAGTAGACAGTCCATTCTTTCAGATTTCAGATAGTCATGGTACACAATATTCTGTGGGTCTTGAAAAATCAGTAAAAATCATCAGAAACGGCTGGCAATATGGGAGTACCTGTTCTGAAATAGGCTGGCAGTCAATGAGTTAAAAAAACAATTGAGCTTATGTCAGATAATGTACATACTTTGATCTGTGACTAGAGGGATTAGGCAAACACATTCATCCATCCATACAAATGAATAAATAAATAGTTCTAAAAGTAACTAACAATAGTCACAGCAGCAGAGGTGGTCCAGCTGCTTGGAGAGTCTGCTTGATCGGGACCATCCTCTCTGGTCTGGATCCGTGTAAAACCATGAACCCTGTATTACAGTAACTAACTACAGCAAGAAAAACAACTACTGCTTCAGAGATACTTAGGACTCACTGTCGTTTCCAGCACATTCTAAGGGTGTATTCAGACCTGAAAAGTCCTTTGCTCCGCTTGCTTGATCCGAATCAAAAGCGGACCAAACTTTTTTCTTTTGCTCCGGTTCGTATTCAGACTGTCCTTTTTGCAAGTGAACTTTTTTATGTAAACATATTGACACGTGTGACGATCGGCGCTCCTATTGGACAGTGAGAGCTCACGGAGGATAGATGCGGAACCGGCAGAAAACATTGAGGGCTCGTATGTGCAGCATGTCTGCTCTGCCTCTGTTTGCTCTTTTTAGAGCAAAACCACCTTCAACATCAACAGCAGCTCATATGACACAGGCCAAACACGTTGTTTTAAATATTGGAACAGCGTCGGAGAATGCGTGAGGAGAAAGCCGAAGGAGACTGTGCGCTCCGCGCCCTGTCCCACACATGGATCTATTATAATAACCCTGTTCCACAACTTACTGACAGCAGCATTGTGGATAAACCATGGATCTATAATAACCACGGGACAAACAGACGCTGAGGATCAGGTAGGAACCAAAGAACACAATTCACTACATGAGGCGGAATATTGCTCTTTGAGACGTGAGTCAAACAGTGTCAGGCTTTTAATAATGGAAATGGTTTGAAGATGCTGCCATTAACATCAATGTATACTGTGAACAGTTGTAACTCCATAAGCCTGTTGCACAGCGTCTCCTCACTGCTCCAGGTCTGCACACGGCTCAGTGTTGTTGTGTAGCGTTAGCAGCATAGTTAGCCGCTGTGACGCATGGCTAATTCCTCAGTTTCTGTCTGCGGCTTGTTAAGCCCAAAAAATGGGCGGCACGGTGGCTGAGTGGATAGCACTCTCGCCTCTCAGCAAGAAGGTCCTGGGTTCGAATCCCGGTCGGACCAGGGCCTTTCTGAGTGGAGTTTGCATGTTCTCCCCGTGTCTGCGTAGGTTTACTCCGGGTACTCCGGTTTCCCCTACCACTAAAAATATGTACAATAGGTCTGGCATGCGCCTCCTGTTCGGCGACCCCGCTCCATCTCTGTCTGGAGTGAGAGGACAAATGCCCAAAAAAATAATAACAATTGTAAACCACTTTGTGACCCTTGTCTGTGAAAGGCGGTATATAAATAAACATTACTTACTTACTTACTTACTTACGTATCTTGGAGTTGTGTCGGATCGACACCGGATGTATTCAGACCTGATTCGACTTGGACCAGAATTCGTTTGGAAGCGGACCGAGACCACCTCAAAAAGTGGGTCTCGGTTCGGTTCTTTGGTCCGGACCAGGATTCGTTTGTGTGTATTCAGACCTGCATAAAAGCTTCGGATCAGAGTTCCAAACGAATCCTGGTCCGTTTAAAGTGGAGCAAATGTGCAGGTCTGAATACACCCTAAAGTAGATCCCAGACCTGACCTGACTATTGCCCAGACACACCGCTCCCAGATCCACTCCCAGACCCTGTGAAGCTGTTGAATCCTTCATCTTTCTTTTCCCACTTTGGAGAGGGGGGAATTTAGAGATTTCACGACACTTTGAAGCAACTGTGGTTAAAGTTCTAACTCATCATTCTAACATATGCACAATCCAGAACTTTTCCACTGAATGCTTTGGTAATATCCAGGTTGAAGCTACTGGCACCGCGGCGAATGCTGATTGGACGGTGTTCATTCCTCCGCTGTATAATATCACTTGCATTCTGTAACATATTTGTTCGTGCTGTCTCTACCATCGACAATAAAACATGTCTTCTGTCTGACTTAAAGACACGATCTCAGACTTTGTCATCTTCTTCACCACCTCTGAACATTTGTGCTCCACTGAACATCTGCCCGTCTCTTTCCCACACAACCTGTCCTCCGCACGGCCTCTGAAAGCACCACTCTCACATTATGAGCAGGGCTGTGACACCAGAACTGTGGGCGCTTTATGAATGAGCTGGAATCTGACCTTGGCGCCCCAGCATCAAGTGGCCAGTTGTAAGCACACATCCTGCCCCCCGCCCCCACCAGTCTCCCACAGAGGCCCTCAGTCCACCACAGCCACTTATGTGTCATTTCCTCTGCCTTCAAACAGGCCTTAACGATGAGGCCACGGTTATGAGACCAGAGCTCCCCACAGACTCACTTACAGCTAATGAGTTTGGTCTCACACACCATCAGACTGGAGGACAACACTTCATTACAGACCAGCGTTTAGTGAACGACCAACCCTTGTGCTAGCCTTGGGTTCTGCACAAGACTGGTTTCAGGATGGATTCTAGGCTCGTCATTAGGTCCTAGAATCATCCCAGTGAAAGCTCATTATCGCGCTCTCAGCTGTGTCCAGCATTCAGACGCTGCAGACAGAGCGACCCGACCGTCTGGGAGTATTCTGAGCAGAGCAGGATTCCCCTCAGCCTCCACACGCTGATTTATTTCAGGCTGACTCCCTCCTCCCACCTGCCAGCAGCAGTCAGGGAGAGCCCTCACAGCTCTGCAGCCGAGGAGAGAAGGCCAAAGCAAGCGGAGGAAGAGCACTGAGGAGCACTAAGGTCAACATCTCCAGTCGTTAGTAGAGGATATATTTTGTTAAAAGAAGACATAAGGCAGTAGGAGGAGACTTTCAACTTCCATACAAGGGGCGTCACGGTAACCGGAGTAGACGTGTTTAATTTAACAGTTTCAATAAAAAAGGACTGGTGGGTTACTGCACTCGCGGTGTCAACACCAAGAGCCTTCCAGAGTCTATTCTGAGTCATAAATTGTGGAAATCCGTGAACCGGCTCCGCTGCGGATAATGAGGACAGCCGCTGGGGCCAGGGGCCAAAGACTCTTCCAATCCTTTGCAAACCAACTTTTATTAATAAACCGTTGTGTGGCGTCCTTTGACACAGTTGACATTTTGCCACATGTTAATGTGTCATGTGATAATATCAGTGTCAGATTTAACACCGTCATAGTACACGATATTCTGTGGGTCTGGAAAATCTGTGAAAATCAACATAAAACACAGATTAAGAATTAAACTTAATGTATGTTTCAATCAAACAAAAGCTAGATGTTTCAGGGAAAGGCAGGTTTGGGGAACTTTGCTCCATTAACAAGAAAACTCACTTTACCATTGCAGAAGTTTTACTACGACATTTTGGTTAAATGTCAGATCAGATTTCTAAAAGTATTAAGTTTTTTAATAAACGTTGAAATGAT